AACAATACATTTAATCAACTTTTAGAAACAGGCTGTATCTACAGGGGTACTCACAAAATATGTAACTTTAAAGACGAATTTACGGAATTTTTTACGGATAGTGATTTTTTAAAGGTTTCAACTTTTTCAAGCCGTTTCGTTAACGGTTATTTCCAACCGTTAAAAAATAAAATCTCAGGTTTTCGAGGGTACAAGAACGAAACTTCATTTTGGAAAGTTTTTAACAGTTATTACAGAATTATTGGCGTTATTACAGTATAGACGGCGTTAATGGCGCAAAGCACCGAAAAAAATGTGAAAAAATTTAAACCCTACCAACAAGTAAAATTTTTTTTAAAAGTTTAACTCAATTTTAAGCAAAAAAATACGAAATTCACTGTTTAAAAAAATTTCGTTTCATTTTCGTTTTTAATTTTTTTTTGAAGCGGCTAATGGCCGTTTCGTGAACGGTTTAAAAATCAACGGTATTTGCCGTTTCTTTATTTTCGTAAAGCTCCGTTCCGTTAACCAGCCCTAAATATAAATGCAGGGTTGCTCACAAAGAATAAAACTTTAATGACGATTTTTCAAATTTTATTTCTAAAGATCTGAAAGTTAAATTTGATTTTGGGTCTAGAAAATGGTTTTTAAAAGTTGTACTAAATAATTTGACACAGAAAGCAGAAAGTTTAAAGTATAATGCAATAATTTATCAAGTCCATTCCAAAGTCCAGTTCTACATGGGTGACCCTGTAAATATGAATAATAGAGAGGACCTATGGGGTAAGCCTCCCCCACCCCCCGAGAGGTTAAAATGTGTTTTCAGGGCCCCACCCCTCTCTCTGGAATGTATAAAAAGTCTGAAAAGGTTACCCCCCCCCCCCATCAATAGATGTTAAACGCACTTTTCTTAAATAAGATTCAAGTAGTTATTTTTCAACCTGATCTGATTTTTGTTTTTAAATTACTACCAGCAAGTCTATACATTAATCATCTTTTTATTCACAATGGCAACATTAAAAGCATTGCCTGGTCAATAAGCCATATTCATCATCTGCTGTTTATTGATTATTTTCACTTGTCATTTCCGAAATAGATGACTTGCGCACTTCTGCCTTACAAGCAGTGGAGGAAATTTTAAAAATCGTAAAAATCTATACACTTTTTAAGCTTTCCAGTTTATAATCAGTTTTAGATTTAAAGGGTACCGATGTGAATCAGACATGCCCTTCTATAAAATAGAGAAGATTTTTTGAAAAATTACGCCTTTATAATCCCTTTCATGAAATTTCAGAACCGAATTGTTTTGAAAAGTATTTTTGTTCAAGAAGAAATTGATGTAGTTTCAAAATATTTGAATAATTGTCTAACTTTGATAACTTTACTTTGGAATCATCCATTAGCAAAACTTTAGGATATCAATCAATCATTCACTGTAAGAAATTCCTATCAGAGTTTTCGACCCCTCGAACCAAGGAATAATAATATGTACTGCAGTTTCTGGGAAGCACTTTGTTTACATCCCTCCCAGAAACTTTAGAACGTATTATTTTATTTCAGTTCCTCCTATCTTCCACTCGGACATTGCTACAAGCTAAGCCTAGCGGATACGACGTACAGAAAGGCAGAAAGGATAAGAAGAAATTGATTAAAGAAGAGGGGGGGGGGGGTTTACTGAGTAAAATTACATACAAAATACATTGCTTGTATAGTCAAATGGATTACAAAGAGTGTAGCCTGCGCAGAGGTACATATATCAAAAATATACATAGGTTACATTTAACATTGACATACAAGATTTCATTGGTTACAGAAAAGGTTGAACTTGAAATGCAGGCATTTGGTTGGTTGAAAAGCAAGAGGCGGAGCCTTTGTTAGAGTTTGGTTGTCTAGCATTGTGACTCAAGCTCACAAGAAAAAATCTATAAGATTTAATTCCTTCTTAAAAACCAAAGCTAACAACAAGTGCTTGATATTGCTAAAATATACATGTAAAGGGCTACAGAAAATCATTTGTGAGTAAGAGCGGTAAAATCAAAGCCCAAAGGCCTTGCGACACTTCAAAGTAGACCCTGTTTTAAAAATTGATGAGACTTTTTGTAAAGACCTCTGGATATAAAGGTTAAACTTTTTTGTGTAAAAAATGAAGTATACAGTAAAAAGGGCGTATTTTCAATGCCAGTTATGATGGATAGTGAAAAAGTTAAGTATCAAGATGTTCATTTTACAAATACGTACTTAACAAGACAGAACTTTTATGTATAGCGTTTACCAGTGTTTTTCATTTATGCATGTTATCAATTTGATTCTGAAAGTGCCGCAGGGGATTATGATTTCTAGATTACGTATAAAATTATTATTACATATTCACATACCGATAATTCAAACCTTAAAAATTTATGGTAATTTTTATACTAGCATGAATACAACCACCCGCAATACTCACGTTATATAAAAAGCGGGTGTTTTAGAAGACCCTACAATAGAAATTGCAGAAGAAAATTTGACAGTATTCTCGTTTTCTAAAAATATTCCCATTAAGAAAGACAACTTGCAAAAGTTATTTTTCTTTCTAAAAAATAAATTGATCGAGTCCAGCAAAAGACTGTTCAAAAAAAACTTTTATTGATAATTGACTTTTGTCCTCCTAAATTGAACAAATACTTTAAAGGAATGTTCGCAGTGATGAATAGGTGATATGTAAAATCTCAAGCATATGTATGTGTATTGCAACTTATTATTTATCATTCAAACCATACGCCATTCTTCAAAAATGTGTAGAAAGTATTTAGATGTTTATGAATTATAACTAAGGTTTCCATTTGCCAAAATTTTGCGCAATTTTTGTGAAAGAAAGCGCAAATTTTTGCTTTCACTTTGTTACATGTTTGCGCGAGAAAAAAAGCACTTTGCGCAATCATTCGCAAACTTCATTTCAGGCAAAATTGCGCTATTCCGCTTTTGTTTTATTCTGTTTTGCGCAATTTTGCAGAAAAAATTCTCATTAAAAAGTTGAATAAAGGTGAAACCTAAATAAATTATTTATCTATGTGATTGCAAATTTTGATACATAATTGCAATGCTTAAAAGGGAACTGATTAATTACCTAAAACTTTACTTTGCAACCTGATACATAATGGCACACTACTACTTCTTTAGAGCTTAAGCTAGAAACAGACGCTAAGAATTTTTAAAATATCTAATTCTAGAAAAAAGGATTAGTGAGTGTGAGCCAAAGGCCAATGCTTTGAGACACTTCAAAGTTGAGGCTGTATAGAAATTTGATGACTCAGGGCTGTCTACATCTCAGTAGGCATATACTTTAATATTTCAATCATACGCATTCTACTAGAATTAAGTAGTCAACTTTTGAAATATTACCATGCACCACACAAAGATTCAGACATTTAAAAAAAACTATGCATCAATTTTCAAGTTTCAATTTTCTAATTTCTATTTCATTAATTTTTTTCCCTCAACTTAAAGTTTGTGTAACACAAAGTAACTAATTTAGTGAAGCAATATCATAATTTTAGTTTAATGTAAATTTTTTAATAAACCTTCAATTGTTTGATTCTGTGCTGAACTATAAATTTTGGTTAATTTGCTTAAAAATATCATGTTTGAAAAAAAAAATTACGTTTTTCTCAAAACTTCCGGTTTTGCGCAAAAGTTATTCCCCTTCATGCGCAAAAATTTGGTCATTTTGAGGAAACCCTAATTATAAATCATACATATCATAGTTATATAATTTCTACACATTTTTTTATGACTGACGGTTTGAATGATAAATAATAAGTTGCCAGGGCAGGGTTCCGCTAACTTCCTGGGCTCGAACAGGATATTGCTGGGCTCATGGCCGCATAGCCCCCCCCCCCCCCCCACAAAGGGACTCATTCATCTATCAATATATCTATTTATTCATCTATCATTCTGTCTATCTATTCATCTATCAATTTATCTATCTATCTACCCATCACTCTTTCTATTTGTCTGTGTATCCATTACTCTATCTATCTATCTGCCTATCCATCATCTATCTATCTATGTCTATCTATTTGAAACTTGATGCTGAACCTGAAGATTTCAAAGTTAAATATTTTTCCTTTCTTCTATTTTACATCCTAACTTTTGATTGAAAATCTTTCAACTTTTTCCATATTCTGTTTCAAAAATAACAAACTTTTTTAGTATAAACTAATAAAGAAGCAACCTAAAATAAAATAAATAAAAGTTTTGTTGTGTCCAGAATTTCTAATATATTTAACAGAAAGATTATTATACAAAAATAATAAAAACCCTTCCCCCCCCCCCGCTGTATATACTGTCATTGTCTATAAAAGACAAACAAACACCAAGAAATATTCCTTGCATTGCACAAATAAACTTTTTAGTGGTATTTTTTGGGATTTTCTTGAAATTTGAATTTAATTTCATTTTAAGAAATCCCTACACACAAAAAATGTACTAATGACCCCCCCCTCCCTACATACAAAAAAGGTACTAATGAACCCCCCTCCCTACATACAAAAAAGGTACTAATGAACCCCCCTCCCTACATACAAAAAAGGTACTAATGAACCCCCCTCCCTCCCTAAAAATATCCGTTTTTCATAGAACCTATATCTCTTTCACACTCCATAAAGCTTTTTTACTTTTTTTAACATTACAAATAAATCTATAACATTTATTTCTAAAAGTTATAGATTTCTAAAATTTATAGAGTTATAGTTCATCGTCGAAAAATACTAACAATCCACCACTAATTTATATTAAATATAGTGTGAACAATAAATATGTAACTTTCCTTATCCTTTCCTTTTCTTTTCCTCTTATTTCTATTTTTAGATTTTTTTAGAATTGGGGGGCCTACCGTCTGCACACAAAAAAAGGTACTAACGACCCCCCTCCCTACACACAAACATATAAGAGTTCTAACTGATGTTCCTGTCTCGAAAAATTGATATAAAACCGTGTCAAAATTATACCAAACCGTCTTCTTCAAATTCTAAAATTAAACATTTTAAAACATTCAATATTTATCCTAAAGATTGTTATTAAAACCACAGAAAATAATACATTAATGATTAAAGAAATATCAGACAACAGAAGCAGCAAATCCAAGAGCCCATGAAACCTCAAACCCCCTGAATTAAAATAGCCTTGAAAATGAAAATTATATATTTTTTCACTATTTTCCATAAAATTTCATTTAATTTATTTTTATTTTTTTTTATTTGGTTTTCAAGTTTCTTAATGACTCCTATATATCGTTTCAAAAAGTGTTATATTCTGTCAATTGTGATAATCAGAAAACTCTGAAATGGGAAGACGAGTTTTTAGAAATACTTAATTTTTAGAAATACTTTAGTGTATTTGATGTTGTTACTTATCAAACTGTTTTACTAGACACTTATTAAATCAGCAAGTTAAAATAAATGGGTCTGTTTACACTAAACAATTACTGTGTCCCATGCGCATTGGAGTTTTAAAGTCATAACTTGAATCTAAAAGTCGTATTCCAATTTCAGAGTTTTCTGATTGAGACTTTGCTGTTTAAATCCGCAACTAACTTTTCTAGAGAAACCACGATTAAAAATGATTGACAATTTCCCTTTCATTAAACCACCTTAAAGACACTGTAAAGGAAAAATGAAAGGTAAAGGATGAAACCTGAGAATCTCAGGAGTTGATTGAGACATATAAGAGTTCTAACTGATGTTCCTGTCTCGAAAAATTGATATAAAACTGTGTCAAAATTATACCAAACCGTAAATAATTAATATTTTGTATAAGAGTTGTAGTATTAAACAGATGATATTCAACAAATACGCAACCAATCTGAAAACAACGATATCCCAGAGGAGCCTGAGAAACTTAGTTTTGCTCCTATCATTATTTGAATTTAATAATTTTTAATTTTTAAAAGATATAATTGATAATATTATTTATACGTCTGGATCATGTCACCAGAACTCCAACCAATGGTAGTGCAGTATTATTGTCACATGTATCACGTGACCAAAATACTGCACTGCCATTGGAGGGAGTTCTGGTCACGTGATACGGACGTATATCTTACATATATAGGTTTTGGTATAATTTTGACACAGTTTTATATCAATTTCTCGAGACAGGAACATCAGATAGATGTCTTATAGGTATCGTTCAACTCCTGAGATACTCAGGCTTCAGACTATATCCTCTTTCATTTTTCCTTCACAGTCCCTTTGAACTCTACATAAAAATGGTGTAATAATAATGTTTGTATAAAGAAGATTACCTTGAACCTTATCAAAAATATCTCCCCAAAAGCCTTTCATTTGTAAAAGCAAATCCTGTTTTTTGGTATGCAACAAATCTCATGGAATCCAGAATTAATAAACTTTTACAAAGTTGAAATAATTAATTAAAAGTTTTCATTGAATCCCCAAAGATTTGTAATGGTTTAGCATTCCATTTGAAAGTTTTAAGATAAGTTTGCAGAATTTTCTCTTTTTGCTCAAAGATTTTGATAGTTTATTTTCATGAAGATAATTAGATAAAACCAGGAATGTAATCTGAGCTGAGCTGAAAACTTTAGAATGTGATATCCTTAATCCCGATCTGTTAATTAATCTGGATATTAAATTCATGAGGAGAACAAGCAATATTTAATCTGGAGATTAAGAAAAAGAGTGGATCAAGCCTTAATCCCGATATCCACCATTCTAAAGTTTCTAGCTCTGAATACTTTAGAATGGTGGATATCGAGATTAATGCTTAATCCTCTCTTTTTCCTATTATGACACTAACTTAATCTTGTACTTGTATCCTGAAAAGTGTAAAAAATTCAACCAATCAGAGTCGCGTATATGAAGCCGATAAATTTTAAATTTTGCGCGCCATTTAAGATAAATATACAGAAACGGGAGGAACTCTCAAATTAAAAAAAACCGGTTTTGAATTTTTCTCTCCTATGTCCAAGAAAGAACGGTTTAAGAAGAAAATCAAAAGTGTGTCCATTGGATACTCAGATTAAGTAATCGGGATTAAGGATATCTCATTCTAAAGTTTTCAGATTCAGGAAATGAGAATTTATTATTATGAATCTACTTAGCAGGGGAAAGAAGATTTCCAACCATAATCATACTGCAAAAATTATTAAATCCAAAATATGCTTACAATTACCTTATGTCCATAACGAAGTCTATGGAAGAAAAAGTTTCTTTTTTAAATCCATATCCTCTAAAATTAATCAAAATTAACCCTTTAGTACATTCATCTACATATTTCCCCCTGCAAATCTATTATTTAATATTTCCCCTATTCAACAAAATAAACCTAGAATCAGTTTTATTTGCAAGTATAGATTGTACCGTGTATACGTTATGCCTTCGCAGCATTTTTATAAACAATAAACAAAAGATTGAAATCTGAAATGCAAAATTGATTAACTGATCAAGTTCAGATTTTTAATTTTCATTTTTTATATTTTCGAGTAGATCTGCCAATCAGAGATAATACAGCAGCAAGAAGTATCAATATTGGGACTGCAAGCGTAATTTTAAGTGACTCTAACTTTAAAGATGACAATGTCCAATTCACAACGGTACCCTTGAAAGCTTTGCCGTTTCAAGTTTTGGTTAAATATCAATGCTTATAATTTTGAAAACTGATTATTTAATTTGTGGTTTCTCAACAAAATTGACTTGGGTATTTCTACTGCAGAAAAGATTAGAGATTATTAGTACGAACAAATTTTTAATCATTTTAATCATTAATTCAATCGTCCACATTTTTAATCAGATAAAGGTTTCTAGGGTATTGTTGTAAATCGGGCATTTCCATCTTTGCATGGAGGGTCACTTAAAATTAGCCGTACAGTCCCTTTAAAGGTGGACTTTTTCCCCTAATATTCTATAGAAGAATTACCTTGTTAAAATATTGAATATATATAGAAGATCAAAACAGTTTAAATCTGTGTTTTCATCAGAAATCTGATTACATGCATCAACAATCCTTAATCTAGCTTCCTCTAAACCTAAATATATTAATGTTCTTTAGTCTGAGAAAAAATCACCAAAATTTATAAAAAAAAAATTTTGAGAGTGCAACAGCTTTTCTTGAATCCGACAATTTTCCCACTTTCAAGAAATTAAAAAAAAAAGTATGAAGTTGTTGAATCCCGCAAGGTTTTCAGTGGTTTTACAACTCTCTTTTAAAACTAAATTATGGTCAGCATTTTAAGATTTGATTAAAGAAGTTCTTTTTCCTCAACATGACATATTTTAAAAGTTTGGTTGATATATATATGCAATATTTTTCTCAAAATGATTCAAAGAGATTTTAAACGATGTATGATCTATCTAAATAATAATACTCTTCGCTCACATATTTATATACATGTTCGCTATAGCATGGCCAAACGGCTGGACCAAATTGGCTGAATTTTTTTAGGTCACAAATGCATGGATATATTTTTATTTCCACGTGCATAGCCGGCTGTGTACTAATATCATGATTTAATACCAAGCGAGGGTAAATGGTGGGTAACTAACTTAAACCTCAGCAACGCCGGTCAATCCAACTAGTTATAATACCTATAGATTGAGTGTGCATATTCAAGATGACCGCAAAATCCCAATAATAGGTTGACATAGCGTAGAACCTTGAAGCAGGGAGAGCAGCAGAAAACTAGTTTATCAATAAATTTATTATTTTTGGATTATCCATTTGTTTGAATTATTTCATTTCAATTTAAGGGACTATAAACGGAATTTCAAGTGACCCTCCGGGCTTTAAAATATTTATCTGATCAATACTGTTGAAGATGCCGTCGTTTTTCTTACTTGTGTTTATTTCCGCGGGGTTGTAAAAGCAAGAAATGCGCAAGTCACTTTCTCATAGAAACCGCAAATGAAAATAAACAATTTAGGGAAACATACACATTGATAACTAATTAAAACTTGATCAGGCAAAGCTTTCAATGGCATCGTTGTACATCGGGAATTACAATCTTTGTATGCAGGGTTACTTGAAATTAAGCTAACAGTCTCTTTAAGGATAGGATTAAATATTTTTTGTACCAAAAGAAATTTCCAAAATCTTCTTTAGCGTCGCGTTTTATGTAGAATGTTTATTTAGCATTCAAAGATTAAAGGGAGTGACCGGCAATGTATGATAGTTGAACTGAGAATGTTCTATTGTGGAGACATTTTTTAGGATTTATTTGAGACAAATAAAACATTTTAATGATGTATAATTACTGAGCTTGAGCGCAAAGTCGACATTCAAAATCATCCATTTTGGTGGTTACGTTTTGAGAATCGATTTTTTAAATTATTAAATAACGACGACGAAAAATGTATCAAAAATTCTGCAATAAACTAACTAGATGATTAGCAACATATTTCTCGATAAAAATTTGTCAATAAATCAATGTTAGAATCAATTATTTCTTTTTCATCCTTAAATTGAACTTCTTATAATTTACGAGTTTGTTCGCAGATTTCTACAAATTACAAATACAAAGTCTTTACCATAAAAATTCCAGAAAATCTACAGAAAATGTTTTCGAACAATAAGACATTACAGAACCTAATAACTGAATAAATAACTTAAAGGGACTGTAAAGGAAAAAATGAAAGGGGGAATAGGCTGAAAGCTAATCATTCTAGCTCTCGATCGCGACCCATGAAAGTTATATCTTATATCTAAAAAAAACGATTCTCAAAACGTAACCACCCAAATGGATGATTTTGAAAGTCGACTTTGCGCTTAAACTCAGTAATTATACATCATTAAAACGTTTTATATGTTTCAAATGAATCCTAAAACATTTCTCCACAATACTGCATTCTCAATTTTACTACCATACATTGCCGGTCACTCTCTTTAAGATGGTTTTAATAATATCTCATTACTAGGCAACACTTAAAATGTGAGGTTTGTTAGAAAAAGTAAATTTTCCGATATTTTTTACCTTTTTAGAACGTTAAAATTTTAAGCACTTTTGGGTGAACTGTATGTATCAGAGATAATAAAATAGCATCCCGCGTTGTGATATTTTTGGAAACACATGAATTTTTATCTATTAGACTTTTTAGTTGAATTAAAAGTTTTACTTTCGGTGTGTTCGGAAGTTCTTCAGTTATAAATAATGGAAAATACTTCGTTTTATAAGAAATGCGCCAAACAATAAAAGAAATGTAAAACCGCAAATTCTATGTAAAATCTCTGGTTACACAGAAATTTTAGAAAATTTCTGGCAAATTTCAATAATTTCAATTTCCTGAAAACAATTTGAAGCAAAAATGTTAGAACATGTTTCCAGGTCAATAAAATCATTAATAACGTCCTCGCAGACCTCTAAATAAATAGATTTATTAAAATATATATTTTTGTAAATTCTTTCATAATATTTTTGTTTTACCTAAATTTGAAAAATTTGAATGATGAAGAAATTCAAAATCATCTGGTAGAGTTTCAAGGGTAGAAACAAAATCTGATAATTCTAGATTTTCAAAAAAAAAGTTAAAATATAACAAAATTATAACTTATTTTACTTATTCTTTTTCGTACCTGGATTTAAAATTGTACAGGGTGAATCAAAAATATCAGATTTTCTAGTCGGAAATTCGGAAAACCATTTGAGTTTAGAATTCAGACAGGGGTTCAGTAATATCTCTAAAATAAAATATTTACATATTTATGACTTATTAATATTAATGATTTTACAAAAAATATAAACCCTGTTTTACATCCTTTGCAGTTACCTAAAATCCCCAGATTCAAAAGATAAAAATTTAATTTTCAAAAATCTAGCTAAAATGCTTATTATACAGTTCGGGTTCTGAAACATGTTAATGGGCGGTTTCTGCCTTATAGAAACCGAGCATTAGGGCGAATAGGTGGTTTCTGCCTTATAGAAACCGAGTATTAGGGCGAATGGGCGGTTTCTATAGAAACCGAGCATTAGGGCTAATAGGCGGTTTCTGCCTTATAGAAACCGAGCATTAGGGCGAATAGGTGGTTTCTGCCTTATAGAAACCGAGTATTAGGGCGAATGGGCGGTTTCTGCCTTATAGAAACCGAGCATTAGGGCTAATAGGCGGTTTCTGCCTTATAGAAACCGTGTATTAGGGCTAATGCTCGGTTTCTGCCTTATAGAAACCTAGCATTAGGGGTAATGCTCGGTTTCTGCCTTATAGAAACCGAGCATTAGGGCTAATGTTCGCTTTCTGCCTTATAGAAACCTAGCATTAGGGCTAATGCTAGGTTTCTGCCTTGTAGAAACCTAGCATTAGTGGTAATGGTCGGCCATTACGACCATTTCGTTGGAGAGCCCCAACTTTTCATTGACGACCCCCTCCCCAAATTATCATTGGAGACCCCAGCTTTTCATCAGGACCCCGAATTTTTGTTGCAGACCCCCAGATTTTTATTGGAGACCCAAATAATTTAATATTGGAGACCATAGATTTTCTTTGAAACCGACATGTTTTCTTTGGAGACCCCCAGATTTTCATTGGAAAACCCTTGTATGTGTCCATATTGAATGAATACCTTGTATGTGTCAATATTGAATGAATACCTTGTATGTGTCCATATTGAATGAATACCTTGTATGTGCCCGTATTGAATGAATACCTTGTATGTGTCCATATTGAATGAATACCTTGTATGTGCCCGTATTGAATGAATGCCTTGTATGTGTCCATATTGAATGAATACCTTGTATGTGCCCGTATTGAATGAATGCCTGGTAAATGAGAAGAATCGTAAACCGTTTAACGGCTTCATCCCTCCCAAAACAGAGATTACTAAATTAAGAAATAAAAAAACGTGTTTATGGTTTTCCACAAAGCATTAAACTTTAACGGCGGCCTACAACTCTTAAAATGTAACAATTTGAGGGTAATGATTTGACAAAGTAAGCAACAAAGGTTACAAAATTTATAGATGATAAAATTAATGTTCAGTCGCCTTTTTAAACTCTCATCCTATGTGGGAATTCAATTTATAAACGCATTTATAAAATAATATAATTTTTAAAAGTTAATTATGACTAATTTCTACCTCTGAGAAAAAATAGCTTGTTTTTCACCAAAAATATCAACTTCAAAACAATCAAATATTTCTAAAGTTAATAATTATACTTCAAATCAATAATATAATCCCTAAAATTAATAATTATTTCTAAAATTAATTGATTAATTAAAACTGTGTTTTTTCTCACTACAGTCGTCGTCGTTTATATTAATACAACGGAGACGACTTTCTATTTCAATTTTGATTTCTACCAAGCTTTCAAACAGTAGAGACACATAAACATGTAAACAAAGAGAATATGTCAATTAAGAGCTTCTTTTTGTTTACAAGTAACCTTGAAATTTAAAAAACGCTTGTCAGGGATCAAATTATTATGGATAAAAAAGTCGTCTTCATTGTATTGTTATAAACGCTGACCACTGTATTTTCCCAAGTTAAAAGAAAATAATGGGAATTGGAAGTTGTTCACTTTGGTCATTTTAAAACATATTGAAGTCAAAACTTTTGTATTGTGAATCTCAGAATCAAAATTGATCTCTATCCTACATCATTACATGCAGACGGATTAATTGTTATTCCTCTTCAATATCCCGTGACAGTCAAATCCTGCAGCGAAATGAGGGATCAAGCATTGACCCTCAAATTAAAAAAGAGCCCGCATTTTATATCGAGATCAAGCGTCCAAGATTAACAATGTCCACTCAAAAGTTCCAATACAGGTTGTCCCAATAAACATGGAAAACGGTGTTTGATGTTTTGTAACATTTCTGCAAGATAAACAGTGAAGATAAACAACTGTACCGCGTTTATAAACACGAATTTCTGATATTAGTAAGTACGAGACAGTATTCAGTAAAAACATAACAGACAAATTCTGAACTCTAGCAAACGTATTATATATAGTTTTCCTATTATTAGGCATCACCATACTAAATCAAAAAATCATTTACAAAGACGATATCGAAATCGTTACTGAATGGGACACCCTGTAGATAAAAACGCATGAACACTTGTAGTCTAATTTTTTTAGCCTTTTTTCTTTGATAAAAGATTGAAATACTGGGGGTCCCAATAAACATGGAAATTCAGAGACGAATTCAAAATTGTCTTTGTAAAGAATAAGCGTTATTCTACCTAATTTCAACGGTCAAAATAATGTTACGCCTGCTAGAGTATATTTTATGTAAACGGTATAGACTGTTTTTTTATTCTGAAAACCGTTGTATGATGTTCTGTAACATTTCTGCAAGATAAACAGTGAAGAGAAACAACTGTCATGTATTTGTATAAAAGAATTTCTGTAATTGTTAAATTTCTGAACTCTAGCAAACGAATTATACAAAGCGTCCCATATCATATTATAGATTATCTCCAATCTTTAACGCCAAAACACGCACATAATACACGAAAAAATCTAGCAATTTCTACAAAAAAATGTTCTATTAGACTTTAATTTTCTGATTTGTCCCCCAAATCTTAGTTTAGACCCATTGAAGCGGTCTAATTTTATGTGGGACACCCTGTAATTTCCCAATTATAGGCATCACCATACTATATCTCAAAATCATTTACAAAGACCAAATCAAAATCGTCTCTTAATTCCCATGTTTATTGGTACAACCTGTATGAAAATTGTACAAAATTAGCTTGCAAAGATACAGGGTTACCAATAAAGGATAATACTTCAGTGACGACTGTTCATAATGTTAAATAATTCATTTAAAGACGACATTTAAGGTAGAAAACTCAATTTAAACTTGGGATCGTCAAATTTGAAGAGTTTCAAGTCATCTTTACAGTTTCATCCTTTGTGGATAAACCTGTTTTAATTGTGATTTTTTCGTAACATGTTAAAAATAATTAAATAATAAATTTACCAGGGAAACATTTAAAAGCAACTTGTGTTGATCCTCCTCCCATATCCAGTGAACCAACAGACAAACCAGATCCTCCCTCTAAACATACAGTCGTCACCGTATATATCAATACACTGATGACTACTTTCTTTTTCAGTTTTTATTTGTACCAAGCTTTTAAAGAGCAGAAACACTTAAACATTTAAACAAAGAGAAGTTGTCAATTAACAGCTTCTCTTTGTTTACTTGTAAATGAATAATCTGAAAATTGCTTGTTAGGGATCAAAGGATCAATATTAACTAAACATCATCTTCATTGTATTGCTATAATCGCCAACCTCTGTATATTAAAAATTAAGATCAATTCCGACTCAGACAGAACGATCGTGGGTGAGGGCAAGTATGATTTAATTCCATGATAATTTTTCATATTAAAGGGATCAACAGAACATGCGCTATTTCAAGTCTACCTCACTGCATAGATGACAATGCCCGATTCACCACGGCAACCTTTAAAACCTTTACCTGTCTAGGTTTAACAGTGTTTAATTAAGGGAGTAAGGAATAGAAGGGAGATACAACTGACGCGGTTCGCCCTACCATATGATTATACATGCTTTGCAGGCGGGTACTCCATTTGAATATGAAATATTCTGAATAGGTTATTGTATACGCAGTAAATGTACATCAGACAAATACTTCTTATTCAAATGGAGTACCCGTCTGCAAAGCATGTATAATCATTTGGTAGGGCGAACCGAGTCAGTTATATCTCCCTTCTATTCCTTACTCCCTGGTTTAATTGTATGTTTTCCTGCAGTAGGATTGCCGAATGTAAAAGTCGCTTTTGTGGAGAAACCGCACAATTAAAAATTATTAACTTTTAAGGGTACCGTTGTGAATCGGGCATTGACATCTTTGCACGGAAGGTCACTTAAAAAATGTTTAACGTCTCTTTAATTAAATGATATTGTAAAACTTTTAGTAATTTCATAAATGGGGGGAAAAGTATTGAATGCAAATCTATTAGATAAGTGAAGAAAAAAATCCTAACAACATAATCTTTCTGAAACCCTGAATACATTTAGTTCTAATTTATGATTTTAAAATGATGATAAATGTTTGATTACCTAAAATATTTGTTGATATAAGTGAGTAAACCCCCTCTTCCTTACCGGTTAGAATCCAACAATGTTCATCCTAAACACATTCAAAACTATAAATAATAATAAAATATTATATTAAAGTATTTGAAATTTTAAAATGTTCAAGTGTGGTTTCTCTATGAAAGCGACAGAAACAATAGAGTTAATTGTTAGAATTAAACACTTAAATAATACACATTTTGATCAGATAAAGGTGTAAAGGGTATCTTTGTGAATATGACATAACCCTGTTCACCTGACAGGCTGTAATTTTATTTAGAGGGAGACAATCGAAAATATAATTTTCAAGATTTTTTGATTTTTTGATTTAATAACTAACAAATACAGTCAGCGTCGTATATATCCATACAATGAAGACGACTTTCTATCTTAATTTTATTTTTTACCAAGCTGTCAATTAACATGGATACGTATATAAATGGTAGCAAAGCTTAACTGTCATTTATAAGATTTTCTTTGTTAACTTGTAAACTTGTAATTTGAAAAACGCTCCAAACTTAAATAGAAAAGTCGTCTTCATTGTATTGCTACAAAACTGTACCTTGAAAATGAATTCTGTCCTTGAAAAAAAGTCTCTGATGTACATCATTATAGACTCGGCTCCCTAAATATATTTTTTAAAGCCATCGACCATGTAATTTTAATTTGCAAAAACAAGTTTGCAAAATTTTGAAGAACTCGGCTCTAGAAACTTTAATATTAATAATAATAATAATAAAACATATTTAGGATAAAGTAGATGCCGTATTACAGATATATATGTTTAATAATAAATTTACTTTATGGGAAGTTTTGGGGAACAAATTTGCATAACTTCTTTCAGAATTACTCTTCCTTTTGGTATGGGCTTTCCAAAAAAGCAGTCTGCCTTTAGAACAAGTAAGAATTTTAGGGATAAATAGAGAGGCATGAATTATGGAAAAGGTAAAAAATAAGATTAACCTACATACTAATGCTTACTTGGGGTAAAAATGTAACATGGCAAAATGTTACATCAATTTATAATTTTTTTTGATAAATACTTCTCATTTAAACTTTTTTCCTTTCAGATTTACCTCCGGATTTGAAATCTGTAAAAGTCTAAGCCCGGCCGTAGCTCCGACATAAAGAGGGGTAGATCTTTAAAAAAAATCAAAAAATAATTAAAATATTTAATTTTAATGATTAAAAATGCAAAGTGGTATCACGTAAAATCTACGCGTCATAATTTTTTAACGACGTATAAGATTGTGAATGTTATTTCTGACATCACACATTTAACCCCATTCCTTCAAACACATTCAACCCCATTCCTTGAAACACATTCAAACCGAGAAAACATGAATTTAATATTCGTTGTTCTGACCGTGCTTATTGGAGTCTGTACGTCAAGATATGTCGTAGATGATGTTCATATTGAAGGACAGAAGGGAGGACGCTTAGAGGTCAATGAACAAGGTCGAGAGGACGGTATGGGAGGACTAATTCAAGGCAAAGAACAAGATGGAGGACGTATGAAGCGTAAAGCAAGTTTTGGGCTTCTCAGTAAGTTATTATTCGGAGACTATGGTGGATACGGTGGATATGGTGGATACGGTGGATATGGAGGATACGGAGGCTATGGAGGATACGGAGGCTATGGAGGATATCCTTTTTATGGATGAAGATAGAGGCTCCAGAATTGTATCAGTATATATAGATAAATACATTTACAATAACTAATTAAACTGTAATTATCAAATAAATATAGAACTCATTTTTGGCAGTTATAAATAAAAGTTAGCGAGTTAGATTTGGTTCGATAAAAATTCTACTATTGTATCTTATTAAAGGTTACTCCCGCCGTTTACCCACACTTGAACGATTTTACCGGGAAACTAAATTTTCGCTATTAAAGTCAATCTGCACTCAACTTACAATCTCAAAACCTAGCTAAGTACATTCCCGTGGCTCTTTCGAGTTTCCCAACAAAAATTTGAGGCAAATCGGTCTATGGGTTCCTGAGTTATGATCAAACAAACAAACGGACAAAAAGATATTAAAACTTTATATATAGAGGCTTTTAAAAATAATAATTTTACGTTTTGTAATAAAATAATAAATTAAAATTAACTTGAATACAGTCCTCGTCGCATATATAAATACAATAAAGACGATTTTTATATTTCAATTTTGATTTATATCAAGCTTTTAAACATGGATACAAAGAGAAGCTACAAATTAAAAAAAGCTTTTCTAAACTTGTAAGCTTATACCTGGAAACAATTAGAACTTAAATAAAAAGCTTCGTCTTCATTGTATTGATGACATCGCCGACCGATAGAAGATTATACCTTAGAATATCTGTAGGAAGAACTCCGTATACAACATCAAGACAAATACTAAAAAAAACGAACTTTCATGTTCTAATCCCTATTTCTGTGCAACCTGGCGGTGTAAATCTTTAATATTTCAAATTTGTTTGATGTATAACAGTATTTATAGTTTAAAATATCTACTATCTACCACATTAGGTTGAAGAGATATAGTGATTAAAAAAGCAGAGTTTGTTGCAAAGACTCGTAAAACTTAATGTTTTTATGATAGATCATGCGGCCTTCGACTTTGGGCCATAATCAAACTTACCATGTTGCGTTTTAAAAAGCTATCGCCACAGGTTGTGTTTATAACCAAGGAAAGGTCGCTTTAAACCACAACGTTGATAATAAACTGATTCAGAGGAACTTTTAACTTTTAACAAACTCTGATTGTCTAATCCTTTTTGGCAATTCTGTTAGATTTATATATTTTTTGCAAAAAAAAAATTATATTTATGTAATCTTAAATATTAGAGGGTTAGGTTATGATTACGACCATTTCTGGGCCCGAGCGCTTCTGCTAGGAGTTATAGGACAGATCTTTATAATGATGACGCATTGGTCCAATAGATTTAACATCTGGTGGCAAGTGTTTACCTGAAGTAAATGTCCAACTGCTCCAGGTTGAAAAGAAACTCATCAACGCCTTATAATTACAATTAGACAAAAATGTTATTTAAATTGACTATTTAAGAATTTAGAAAGGGACTTTAACAAACAATTGAATGGAAACTGTTAAAATAGAATCAAGGACTATTTGGGAAAATTAATTATTAAAGATATTTTAGGACAGGTTTTTTGTAAATGTTAGTGTTCAACTGTAAGTGGAGAAGTTTGTTGATCCATTGCGAATGGATTTTCTCAAATACTCTATTAAAAACTAAAGTATTTACCTCCATCAATGTAGCATTCTTCTATTTGTTTCAATTCTTGAGAACTCATCACCTTGAAAATATACAGATATAACTCGTATAAAACAGAATAAAAGTCGTCTTAAAGTGACCGTACATTAAGGTTGTTAATTAAGGTTACATATACTCAGAGCCCGTTCTCTCTTTAAAAATGTATGAACATTGGTCGTACTTTGGAGGACGATAGATTGGTCGCCAGGGGTCTCAAGCTAAATTCTTTTCTGATAGACAGATAATTCATACGACCTGCAGTACGACCAAACGTAATAGACGTCATGTGGTCGACCAATGTAATGATAGAAGGAATGGCCTCTGGATGCGCTCCAATGTACGGAAAATGTCGTCTTCTTAACTATGGATTCAACAAGTTGCATGTGCGATTCACAATGTTACCTCTTTTTAACCTTTGTTAATGCAAAATTTATAATTTTAAATATTCTTTCTTTTGGCAGAAAATAGACGATATTTTGCTATTAATAATTGGATAAGATGAAAACCTGGAATATATAGAAGGAAGTATGACTGGATCCAGCATCTACTACGGCTAAATAGTAAAAAATAAGTTTAAAGCTGATATCGACGCGATCTTAATATTTTAATAGTTATATTTCCCATTTACAACAGCTTATTCTTTAAACCTTTGAACAATGTACATCATACTGTATAGAGCTCTTTAAATGGAAAAGCTGGAGAGTCTATTGAAATTACTTGAGCGTAGGCTAAATTTCAAGTTACCCTTCGTGGCGTGTCTGATTCACAAAATTAACCTTTAAACCATTGGACAGATTAAGGATAACGGGTTTCTACAAAAACATATGTATTTGAAAACTTTAAATCTTAGAAATAATAATTTCTAAATTAATTTTTACAATCGAAAATAATCTTTACAATCGAATTTATGGTAAACTGCATTGGACATATGAATATTTTGGGATTATTAAAGAATTTAGGCAACGTCAGCTGTGCTACATCAAACTCTTTAAGAATCAACCAACTAAAAAATCTTGAGAAAACTGAATCGTCTATTTTTGTCGTCTTCCTGTTGAGAAAAATATATTTTTATAAATTGTTAACCTAAAAATAAAGCTTCGTTTTCCTGCTGCGGTATAGCACAAGTATTTCCTATGAAAAGAAACACAAAATACTGAAAATAAAATGGTGTCATTATATTTTTCTTTTTGCAACTGTGAAATGGAAAAATACAATGTTGAATATTAGTTATCATAAACCACAAAATTTACTCCAAAAGATAAAAAAAATTGTCTCCATTACATTCAATTGACGAATGTTTAAGGGACTGTAAGCGTAACTAAAAGCGAATCTCAACGCACAGATGAAAAAACCGTTATCTGATTAACAATGTGGAAGAGATTGTCGTTTTTCTAGGTTTAAAATTGTTTTAACTCTGTTAATTCAGGTTTTCCTTCAGTAGAAGTGCCCTAGTCAATTCATATGTTTTCCTATAGTAGAAGTGCTCTATATCAATTCATATGTTCTCCTTCAGTAGAAGTACTCTAGTCAATTCCTATGTTTTCCTTTGGTAGAAGTGCCCTAGTCAATTCATATGATTTCCTTTAGTAAAAGTGCACTTGCCAATTCATATGTTTTCCTTTGGCAGAAGTGCCCTAGTCAATTCATGTTTTCCTATAGTAAAAGTGCCCTAGTCAATTCATATATTTTCCCTTAGTAGAAGTGCCCTAGCCAATTCATATGTTTTCCTTTAGAAGTAACCTCGTCAATTCATGTATTTTCCTTTAGTGGAAGTGCCCTAGTCAATTCATATGTTTTCCTTTAGAAGAAGTGCCCTAGTCAATTCATATATTTTCCTTTAATGAAAGTGCCCTAGCCAATTTATATGTTTTCCTTTGAAGAAGTGCCCAAGTCAATTCATATGTTTTCCTTTGAAGAAGTCCCCTAGTCAATTCATTGTTTTCGTTTGAAGAAGTGCCCTAGTCAATTCATATGTTTTCCTTTGAAGAAGTGCCCTAGTCAATTCAAATGTTTTCCTTTAAAGAAGTGCCCTAGTCACTTATAGTTAGAGAAAACACAAATAATCAGTTATCCAAATATAAACATTGATATCTTTCTGATACTTGATAAGGGTAGCGTTGTGAATATTCTTCATCTAAAAATATTTAATCAAGTGGAGGTGGACATAGTACATTTCAGGATCTTCTGTATTTGGCTCTACAAAAAAACGACATTATAAATCAGAAATTTTTCCTCCGTGAATTTTGCTTTTATAACAATATGGTTAGTAATAACATTTAGCATTATGACAAAAGTACACTTTTATGAAATACAATTTTCAATTTCGAGAATCTTAAATTAAAAGAAATTAATGCAATGCAACACTAGATTATTCAAACAACCCTGCAAGAGTTTAATTACAGGTGTTAGGTACTTTCCCAAGGGCAACTTCTCAAATGTACATTTTCCAAAGTGGCCACTTCCCCATGAAAGAAAAACAACATTTTCCCCATTAAGGAAGTATTAAATGAACATTTAAGCTTAACATTTTTTTAAAGAAAATACACAACTTTAAAAAAGTTTCATTCTGTTTCTCTCAAGAACATGTTGGCGGCCTACACCCTTTCTTCAAAAAACAAAAATTTATTAAACGAAGCCTTCTGAGGCTAGGTGGTCAAGCTCTGCAGCTAATACTTGTTTTAACGAACATATAGTACATTATTTAATGTTAGGTTAGACGTCTGAGGCACCGAAGGCTAAAATGGAGACTGAGCGCTGCGGCTAGAATGGGCTAGGGGGCCGAGCGCTTCGGCTAGGATGTGAAAGGGGTCGAGCGCTGCGGCTATTACTTGTTTTTTTAAAAAAAAAATAAGTAAATTATTTAAGGAAATTGTTACTTGGGAAAATGGATATTTGGAAAGTTAACCGCTTGGGAAATTGCATATTTGGGAAGTTGCCACTTGGGAAAATATCCTTGGGAAGTTGCCGTTTGAGAAAAGACCTTTGGAAAAGTATCTGACCTCTAACTATATACATAATATTAAAAAACATGAATTTATCACATTTGAACAAACGAATTTATCACCCAAATTATAATATTGTAATAAACATTTTAGTTATCACAGTTTTATCAATAATCACGGCTCCACTTCAAAATTTAATTTTAATTTAAATAATAAAATGATGGTTGGTGGATTGATACTTGGCAAGTGGTTGGTTATAAAATATTTAGGGAGTTTCAATAAACATGAGAAATAATAACTGCCAGCTAAAAACCGTCTATAATCTCATAATAGTTAATTCAACCCAACAAGTCCAAGCAGGAGCAGGGGTTTTTATCTCCTAAATGTGGCCTAACAAAATTAGTCTAATGTCCTGGACTTTTCATTCAAGACAAAACCAAACAAAGAGATACTAGAATTCAAGGCTTAAAGGGAGTGTTCGCGAAAAATATTCCTAGAAAATATTTTATTGTGATTGCTACTAATCTTACTTCTATCTCTTAAGTCTATAAGGAGAAAATTGTTAAAAATTACTCATACTGAAGCAACCTATAATCATCGATTTTTTATCGACGCATTTGCATAAAGTTGATATTTCATAATATTTTATATTTTTTATGATACAAAAGTTAATTTGAAAACATTCATTCCTGTTTCGAGGATTTTCTAATAATGAAGGCGACATTTTCATATTTTCCGGGATAGTTCGAAAATCCAGCGGCCAGCCGTGAAAACAAAGTTGCAAGTGAAATATCAATTTAAAAAAAACTAAAATATTAAGAAATATCAACCATCGAAAAGTATCGATGATTATTGGTTGCAATATATAAATGGTTTCTTTGGAATTAAACTGATTTTTTACGATCCGAGTGGAATATTGTAATTTTCTGAATATTTATGGACGCAACGTTCTTCGGTATGAGTCGTTTCTAACAATTATCTCCTTATAGACGCAACAGATAGAAGTCAGATCAGTAGCAATCACCATCAAATGTTTTTCGACGTAAGTCTATACCCCCTTTCATTTTTCGAGAAAACTCCCTTTAAAGTTTTTTTGTCCTCTGAAGTTGTTAAAACGTAGAGGAATAATGCAATGATTTATAATACTGTGATGTTGAAATTTAAAAAAAATATTAACGAAGCCTTTTTGTTTATGGTTATTTCCTTATTCTAGAATTTAAAAAAAGTGCTAAAACTTAAAAAATAAAACAGAAAAACACATTCAGAAACTAGAGTTCAAAATGCCACATTCCCTCCTTAAAATACTACTTAACAATATATGTGGGGTGGGATAAAGAAAATATAAAATCCGTTCCAGATAAAAAATATTTAGAATTTAAAGTTCATATCGGTAAAGTGCTTCCGCCAGATGACTTGCATAGCCCAGTAAACAGTTTAGAGAAAAACTTCAATCCTGAAACAGAAAAAAATTCTTAAAAATTTTTTTTTTGTAAGGTGGGGATTAATTATTTACAAAATACACGCCTTTGCCTCTCTCCCAACTAATCTTACCTGAGACCGAATTTAAAGAATTTGAGCGGAGGCTTAAATTTGAGCTGCGGCTCAAATATGGTTGGTTTTACTTAAATTGTATTCAATGTTTCAAGATTTAAGCCGGCGCTCAATTAAAACCGGTTTTTGGCAGATTTAAGACGCGGCTTAAATTCATTAAATTCGGACACTGGGATATGTTTTGTTTAAAATCATCTCCGTTCGGATCTAATTTATTTTCTCCATGTGTAAGCATAATGCAAATAAAAAGAGGGCAATGCCGGATTCACAACGGTACCTTTATACCATTTGTGTGTTCGTTGAGTCCAGAGATGTGTGTGTTTAAACTCCTTGAAATCGGATGTATTCATATATATATATATAAATACATATATATATACATATATAAATATATTATATATATATATATTTTTTTTCATGAGATATTATTAATAAGCAATCACAATTTACTATGCAGCTTGGACCCGCCTAACCAGGGTTGGTTGTTTTGAGTGGTATTCAGCTGCAATTTACGAATAGCCTGAACTCAACACAGCGCACACTTAAATGTACAGCTGAATACAAGCGAGGGATACAAAAGGAGGTTAAATAGTACAAAGAGGAACTATGTACATTGTACAAATGTACGCGAAACTTTGACCTCGTCAAAGGTTAGCTTCTATCTTGCCACAATATTACAGGGGCTCATTTCAGGAAGCTTTTAAATAAAATGTTTGTTGTATAGCAAAATAGAAATTAAAAATACTTTAAATTGCAGATTTACGCAGATTGATTATTAATCTGAAGATTTTGCTAAAAAAAAAAATGCAGTTTCAAATATTTTTTTTTAATTATTACCTTTTCTTTCCTCTTATAATGATGAAATAAGGTCTACTATCAACTGTATTGATTTTTTTTTAAATATTGAATTAATCAAAGAAGTCAAACTTGTCACTTTGGACTTCAAGACGGTTTCTAGTTTTACATCAGACAAATCCATTGAAAATTTTTGAAGCAATCGATCATCTGCTGTGCTTGTTTTCTTTACAACAAGAATCAAAGATATTGAAAAGCCCAAGAAGATACACAGAACTATATCAGAGCTGTCAACATTTGTTTCGATAAAACAAGGATATAAAATTTCTTTACTCATTTTTATGAGATTAAGCTTTTCGGTATTTAAGAGTGGTCTTTCTTCTTGAGCAGATAAATACTGAATATCTACCAATTAATCTGAGTAGCCTCACCCCCATCCAAGTGAGAAAATAGAATAAGTCTGAAAATTATAGAACTTAAAAAAAAATTGCAGTATTCCCCCATGAATAAGGGAGGTGATATTATTGAATTTGAAGAGTTGTTATATGATCATCACATGATTATTTTTCATAACTATTCAGTTCACCTATTGCTTAAATAGTCTTAATATTTTGAATTAGCATGAGTATGAATTTAAGAAGGTTTTAACTACTTTCAAATTGAAAAAAACCCAGAAAACCCCGGTAAAACCCAATAAAACCAACTGGGGCGGGTTTTTTTGAAGAAAACAAAACGTTTTATTTCCAACCCTGACTGTGCTCCTTACTTTCTTGCTGTCCCCAGGTAGATACTACAGGCTACCATAGGCATAAAGGGGTTGGTGGTGGTGGTGGAAAGATGATGGAGCTCTTGGAATACATTTATGTACTCAACGAACACACAAAGGTGTTCAGGGTACTGTTGTAAATTGGGCATGGCCCACTTTGCGTGGAGGGTTACTTAGAATTATGCTAGCCGTTCTTTTAGGCCCACTGCCCCCCCCCCTCTCTATTAAAAACTCACTGAACGCGCCCATTTTTAACAGGGGGGGGGGGGTAATGATATATTTTTTGTAGAGTGTGGTGGAAAAACTGAACTAGATTTACCTGTTTGTCCTCCTGGAACATAGCTAATAATAAACCATACTAACGACACCACCTAATATGTTAACATTTTATAACAGAAACTTAGAAGCAAATAGTTAATAAGAAATATTCTGGGCTACCATTTAACAATTGGGTCTATCATTTTTTTGTTCATTTTTAATTACAATTAAGCAAATATTTGAAAGATTAAAGAAAAATATCCTGACTTCTATATATAAATTTGGCTTGTCTGTTTGATTGTTTGTATCCAATAAACGTCAAAACTGCTGAACCGATCAGGCCAAAATTTTTTGTGGGACATCACGTGACTACAGGGAAGGTTTATGAATGATAAAAAAAAAAAAAAAATGTGTTTTAGAGGTTTATAATTTTGTAAAAAAATTTAAATTCTTGAAAATGCGCGAATTCTTTTTAAATCCGCAAAAAAAATTTTTTCTTTGTTTTAAAATGTAAACAAAAAGAACATGTTCACAATTTCAATAGAAGATGGGCGCAAAGCGCCCTAAAAGCCTAGTATTTTAAATTCCGATTAAAATGTTAGCTGACAAATTTTCTCAAGGCTCAGAATGAAAGTAAAATTTTCAGATATTGAGAAATAACAAATTGAGAAACTTTGTATCAAATTTTTCTGTCATTGATCAGACTAGTCAAAAGTAACATTTTAAATTTAGATTTCTGTTTGTTTACAAATAAAATATCCTCTGAAATATGAGACTTGATATACTTTGTGACTTTATCTTTTTTATGTTTTTGACCCAATTTTTCATAGCTTCTCTAGTCTAATATACTAAGAGAAATGTTTATGTAAGTGACAAAAAGAGAATTACTTATTTGACATAAAAAAATAACATCACATGTTTAGGTAGAAGTCTATCTGGTACTTTTCGAATAATATAAAAAATGGTAAAAACTATAAAACAAAAATATCTAAAACATTTTTCTGTTAAAAATTCCTGAAAAGCTGCAGCTGTACAAGTGAGTATTGTACTCTGTAATCCCATAGCAAAATACAGAGTCCCTAAAAATGAGTAATTTAATGAGACAGTATCAATTTCATGTCATCATGTATTTCAAGACTGGAATGTTCAATTCACAACGGTACCCCTGAAACCTCTATCTGAGTAAAAATGAAGGATATCGCCAATTTACGAAATAATTAAGTGTAATTTTCTCACAATTTTCACATTGTCAAGTTACTTTAACAACGAAGTCACAATTGAAATCAATCAATTTTTAGAGAGAAAGTTAATGGTATCACATACATCTTTGATCAGACAACGGTTCAAATGGTATATTTGTAAATTGAATATGCCACTTTTAAATGCTCCGACGAAAATTTCAACAAAAAATCGTTTTTATTGGCAGCAAAAGTGGGATGACTGCCAAAAACGCGATTTATTTGTTGATTATAGCATTTTTTTTATTTTAAAATTTATAGTGTCCGACATGAAGCATCAATAATTTGCAAAATAAAAATTCTGAAGAGCGCGGCGCAATAAAGAAATGAACAGGTAGAATATAAATAATAATTTTGAACAGTGCGGCGTAATGAAGAAATGAACAGATAGATGTATCTTTACCTGATAAAGACAACAGGTAAACCACTGTGAATGGAACGCGTTCCTTGCTGAACAAATGCTTCACATGGTTCCAGGGTCCGTACAAAAAGGAAAAACTAAAAATGAATTTAAATTCAAATAATTGTGATAAAAAAGTCCCCGGCATGTCCCTGTCCATCACTCTGCAACAACTACTTCTATAGTTTTTCTTAGGATTGTTTAATAATTAAAGTTCTATTTAACTCACTTTACAGTGAGTAAAGATGAGAGCTAAACTATTCAAATTTTAATGCAAAAAAGGGAGTGTCTGGCTAGAAATGGCAGTTGAGCTGCGAGTCCAGTATCGTAAAAGAAATTTTTTATAAATAATGTGAGACCTATATCACATTCTTACGTTGTATAATTTCTAAGTAAGAGCGCAAAATCGATCTTTAAAATCCTCCTGGCGATCCACCTAGGCAGATTGTGATGCGGAACGCATGCTCAGCAGGTTGTGGTGAGAAATGATAAGATCAAGCCTGGTGACACTTTGAAGTCAGTCTAGTGTTAATAGCTGATGCACATATGATTTATTTAATAACTGCGTAGTGGTAAGATACACAAAAGGTTTTATATTCTATTGAAGTAAATTGTGATGAAATGGTGGTAAAATGGTCCAAGTTCATCTATTTACAAGAGAGACTCATTTTCTTGACAAAAAAGAACAAATTTCATGAAGCTTGGGCCGAATTTAATGGATTGGAGAGGTCGCTAAACTACCTACAGCCGGTTCAAATCCTGAAAACCGATTCAAATCCTAATGGAATTTAGCTTTGAACCGGGCGGTGGAAGGTAGTTCAGCGATCTAGTTCAAATTCATTATTGGTTCTTGGATAAGTTAAAAATTGTACCTTGCTATAGTGAACAAACTTCCCAATGAGAAGAGGAGAGAAAACTTCCTTGCTTTCAGTACAATAAACGGAATATACAGGCTAGCTAGTCCAAAACAGATAATTCCTAAAATATAAATATTCAAGTAAATGATGAGATAATTTCAAATCACTTTTGATGAATAATAGTAACGGGAGTGGGAAGAAGGGGGGGGGGGAGTTCTTAGTTCGGAGGAAAAAAGAAAGTTTAAAAAGTTGATATTCTTCCTTTAAAAAAATTATTTTCTTACGTCTTCAAACACAGAAACATAAAGAAGCATTCCTTATATAGGTAGGAGGGGACTAGAGGACTTTCTTTTAAGCGCAATAAAATTACCTAAAACTATACTAGTCATGAAACCAAATATTCTTTGTTTTCTTGAGAGTCCTGGTAACCATGTGCTGGCTGTACTGCTGCTCTTACTCCCAAACCATGCTCCAGTCCCAGAGCCACCCTCTCCCTAAAGAGAACTAGGTTACCAGAGCTCAAAATTTTAGAATTTGATACCTCTCATCCCGATCGCTTAATATGAATATCCAATGTGGATATTTTTAATTTCCTTCTTAATCTACTCCTTCTCTTTCTTTTTCTCTCGATGCCAGTTTCCAACCAATGCAATGAAAGTTTAAGTAAACTTTCTGTAAGCGTAATTTCAAGTAACCTCCCATTCAAAAAGGGGGGCAATGCCCGATTCAGAATGGTACCCTTGAACCTTTTTTCTCCTCAATGATGTTGAAAATATTGTCGTTATTCTAGTTTAAATAGTGTTTAATTCTGATAATTCCTACATGTGTTCCTGTAGTTAAAATGTTCAAGTCATTTTTAAGGAAAAATCACAATTGAATATAATCAGTTTTCAAATTTAACCATGGATACCGTTGTAAATCGGACATTACCATCTTTGAATGGAGTCAATTGAAATTACACTTGCAGTCACTTTAAGCAATATGAATGCTAGACAGTAGACACTCGCCAGCCGTCACCTGTTCGGATAAAAAAGGTTCTTCATCTTCTTTAAGACCTCCAGATTCTCCAAATGGGGACTAAAAAAGAAATGTTAACAGACTGCCTTTTCACGAGAGAAATATTTGCATCTAAGATAAGAAAAAGGAGTGAAAAAATCCAAAAAGAAAAATGGAGGCTAAATACACACATACATTAATAACCAGAAAACTCTGAGTAGGAAGAAGACGACTTTATAGCAATACTTCAGTTGTTGAGATAAAGGAGGCCTCGAGGTTTTCAAAGGTTGGTTTCCCTAGGGAGATTAGGTTACTTATTAAGGTTTAAGGTTGTTGTAAAAACAAGTTTTACTAGACACTTATTAAATCACTAATTAAGTGAAATGGGTCTGTTTACACTGAGAAATTGCTGTGTCCCATGCTCATTGGACTATTTAAAGTCATAACTTTATTCGAAAAGTCGTCTTCCTATGTCAGAGTTTTCTGGTTATCACTGTTTCAAACTTTTATCTTAAAAAAGCACCAGAATGTTGGGTTTTGTGAATATAATAGTGTAATCCCCCACTAGACAGATTCCTACATTCTTCCTTGTTTTTCAATCTATATATGATCTTGTTTAACCCCTAAATATCTGTGATTAAAACTGGTTTTTCTCCTCCGAACAAACACGATTTACGCCGACGAACCATACGCTAACTTATTTTACCTTGAATGTTGGTAGCTTGAGGTTACTTGTCAGGCTGGATAAGGAAATGCTATTCGCAGAAGACGACTTCTTTAAATAACTAAAAACACATAATATAGCATTAATAAATTATCTTCCTGTTGGGACAAAATAAATAATTTTGTGGGAAAAATAAATAATTTATGGAGGGAAAAAATTAATTTTGTAAGGGAAAAAGTTAATCGCGTAGGATTTTGGAAAGTGTCGATTGAAAACAAAACCATTCTAAGAACAATCAAAATTTTAGACAAATCGGTCAAGGGGGGTTTATGAGTTATAATCAGAAAACAGACAGAGATTACAGCTTTATATATATATATATATTTGTAATAGATTATACAAACTGATTCAAATGGAATTTTTTGGGTCTTAAGAGGATACAGTGTTCACCCAGAAGAGGATACAGTGTTCACCCAGAAAAGGATACAGTGTTCAACCAGATTAATCCTTGATAAACCCCTGAGTGATCACAATAATGCTTCTCAAAATTTAGAAGATTAAACACAAAATAAAAAAAAAACGAACCTGTTCAGATCTTCAGAAAGGCTCATAATTCAATCTCTGTATTCTATCTGCTGTAATACAAAAATCTTAGTAAACAATCCTTTCTTGGTGCATTTAATCTTATTCCAATACTTCTGATTTAATAAATATATTTAATCTTATTCCATTACTTCTTATTTACTAAATATATTTTATCTTACTCCATTAATCCTAATTTGCAAAATGCATTTAGTCTTATTCCATTAATCCTAATTTACTAAATATATTTAATCTTATTCCAATACTCCTAATTTACTAAATATGTTTAATCTTATTCCATTAATCCTAATTTACTAAATATGTTTTATCTTATTCCAATACTCCTAATTTACTAAATGTATTAAATCTTATTCCATTATTTATAATTTACTAAATAAGTTTAATCTTATTTCATTACTTATAATTTACTAAATATATTTAATCAGCTTAATTCATTACTTATAATTTACTAACTATTTTTAATCTTATTTCATTACTTTTAATTTACTAAATATATCTAATCTTATTCCATTACTTATAATTTACTAAATATATTTAATCTTATTCCATTACTTATAATTTACTTAATATATTTAATTTTAATCCATTACTTATAATTTACTGAATATATTTTTCTGCTTTAAGTACTACGCACTTTAACTACTAATTAGCTTAACCTTTTATCTTTGCCCTCCAGGGTACCGGATGGTTTAAATCTTCGACTTGTTCAAGGAAAAGTACTCAATCTAAAAATATTCAAATTTTGAAATATAAAAAATATATAGCATCGGGTTCCACATAAAAAGGGTTTAGAAGGTTAGACTTTAATTTACTCAAAATCTGTATTACGGACCAACTTAATTTATTTCTGATCAATTAACTCAATATTAGGCTTTTACAAACCTAGCTTATTAATCTGGTAGACAAATTTTTTCTTCCTTTACTCTTGTTCCAAGCTGAAGACTACAAATGCTGCAAACATGTTTTCTGAAAAATCCTCGAATTTATTTGATCATTAACACTTTTTTAAAGCTAGTCAATCAGCTGATTTGTTTCAAGGGTCTGTAAACTGTACAGTGTAGACGTAATTTTAAGTGACTCTTTATTCAAAGGGTTCGCAACAGTCCTTCTTGAACCCTGATTTACCCTGCAGACGATGTCGTCGTTATATTTTCGTGATAAAAAAATACATTTCCTTTCATGCCTCTGCTGCATCAATCCGGAAGTAGTAAGACCCAGAAATTGAAAAATAAATATAACTGTTTTTAATCTTTGTGAAGAAACAATCTCAAGAACTGACGAGGGTCAACCCAGACCGAAATATATTTTCAATAAATGTGGAACTAACATCTACTTTTTTACTCTACAGAGGTTTGGTCCATCACCATCACCGAATTTTAAATTTAAGGATATCTTCATTATCCCAAAACATAAGTATAAATGGGATGGGTCGGTAAATCTTAGAATAAAGTGCCGCTTGAAATACCGTCAATTGTCCCTTTAAATTCCAAGCTGAAGCGTGTCTAAAACTTTGGTTTGTAGTAAAGATGACGAGGTTTTCAATATAACAATAAGCTATATACAGTTGTATACAAATACAATACATTTAACATTTAGATAAAATTTGATACGACTAGGTGGGGCAAGTAATTTACATGACTAAAAATTATGCACAATGCTCAATTATACAATACACTTAATAAACTTAATATAATGAGTGTGCCACGGTACAAATTGTTGCAAGACACAACTATTTTTCATGATTAACATTAATAAATCTGCACAAACTAATTATCTGATTTCAATAAGCATATTAATCCTTAAAAAAAAACACAAAGATAGAATGTGGAATTTTCAAATTAAGATGGAAAAAATTTCGAATCTCTATAAGGCTGAAAGACAAGAAACAAATCAAAACATTGCTCAAATAAAAAAATAAAAGATGAGCAACTCAGAATAGATTAATGAATATTTAATTTCCAGAATCAAAAACCCAAAACGTAATTAGATTTCATAGATTTGCATTTTATCATGAGATCAGTAAAAATTGAGATCAGTTTCAAATGAAATGAAAACAAAATCCACATCCAATTGGATTTTCGAAACTTTTTACCTGGTTAATATTCATTTTAATATGTCTTTGAAAAGTGCAAACCGTCTGAAATATCTTGAATATCAAAATCAAGGGCCATGGAAAAATATTCATCAACAAAATTAATGAAATCAAGCGCAAGTGTAAAATGCAAGTTTTAAAATGTTCAGCAAGCTGTCAGGGGATCTTGTAAATATATTTAGAAGTCGGCGTTTATATCAATACATTGAAGACGACTTTGTTTAAAATTTTGATTACTATCAACCTTTTTTCAAATTAAAAGTTTACTAGTTTACAAAGAGAAGCTTCCTTTGTTTCCGTGTTTAATTGCATCCATGCTGTTTAAAAGTTAAGTAAAATTCAAACATTCAAATCTAAAGTCGTCTTCATTGTAATGATTGATATATTTGACGACGACGACGACTGTAGTTAACTTTACAAAGCTAACTAGAGACAGTAATAATATTGCAATAATTACAGCATGTCAGTTTAATTACAAAGTAGTCAGCAATATACTAAAGATAAACTATACAGAGTAACCCACAATTAGGATGAGACTTTAAAAAGTGGCCCGAAACTCTAGAGATGACGATCTCAAGGTTGATTTTTATTTTAGGTCTTTAATATCATTTTTTAATGCCGAACTATTTAATTTGAACCAAAAAAAAAAAGCTCGATATGCAATCTACAAGCAAAATGACTGAATACAGTCGTCTGAAAAGCATCATCTTTCTTAGGATAACCCAGTATTTATAAGTCAGTTGATATTAAATTAACATAAATCAACCGAAAGAATAAATCGCTAAATAAACTAATCATACAAAGTTTATCGCTGGTCCGAAGGATAATATACAAAGACTACTCAATTCCGTCGCTTATAAACGAGATAAATCGTTTGGCGTACTGGTCAGGTTCAACTGTTGATATTCCATCCACGCTTCCACCATACTTGACCGTTTTTGCAGCCTAGATCAACAACATATTACCAAACATCAAATCATTATCAGGGGTGTATATTTTCAACATTTATCCCCCCACCACCCCCCGGCCCCTGGGTAATGACTAGATGATGCTCGGGGGGAGGGGTGGAGGAATGAAAAATTTCACATCAATGGCTAAGTTGCTTTATCTCAAAAAGTCATTTACTGTTGCATAAAAATCATTTCTTTATCCCAATTCAGCGAATAAGACCATAACATAAAATCCGGAGAAAAAAAGTTGTATTAAAATGGCGGGAAAGAAATGGTTTAAAAAAAAATATTTTCCCTGCAAGTCAGAATTTGTGCTCAAGCAGGAAAAGAAGTTTAGAACTTGGAGCCTAAACTTTCAGATCAAAGTGGCAAAAAGCCCTTGACATCATTCAATGTTTTCTTTGTGTAAACAATAAGCAGAGAAGTTAAAATTTTCCACCAGTTTTAGGTGAAAATATTACATTTGGACTTAAGCTTTTATAAAGTTTTTCACTCTTTTTAATAACTTTTCCCAAACATCACTATCTTTTTTTCTCAATCTCATTTATTTTTCGCAACATTAATAATTTCTAAAATTATGTGGAAAATATAAATTTTTATGCTAGGGAAAAGAAGACCAAAAGAGGAATAAAGGAGTTCTTAAAATATTTGAAAACTAGCTTGGGAACCCAGAGTGGCCCAGGGAAGTTAAAGTTAGTCCAACCGCCCTTTGTCGTAAATTACGATTTTAGCTATTTTTCCCGTATAAAGTAAACCCACTCAACTTAGAATCTCATAACCAAGCTAAGAATATTCCCATGGGTCCCCAATCAAAATTTCAGGCAAATCGATTCAAGGGTTCAAGAGTTATGATCAGACAAACAAACAAACAGAGATTACAACTTTATATATAGATATGTAAAAATGTTCACCTTGGCGGTCATCTTCTTGACCCCGTAGTGGGTAAGCACATCTACCAGAGCCAGGAAATAGATTTCCTTTGGTGGACCAGACCCATTACCCTGGTAATATAAATATAATCAGTTTTTCAATCAACACATCAATCAATCACTCAATCATTAAATCAATAAATCAATTATTCATCTATAATTCAATCAATAAATAACCAATCAATTATTTATTTATAAATCAATCTCAATCCATCAAGAAATGATGAATGATTTAATAGTGGCGGAAGACGATCCATAATTTTTCAACAGAACTCGACGCGGCGGCGAGAGAATAGGAATCCAGCTCACCAGATATTTTCCACGTACAAAATAATATATAATTTTTCCAAGTTGTTTAATAAACTTTAGTCCTTATTGAGAGTAGCTAAATAATTATGTAAACAATAAATCAATAAATAAATAATACATCGATAAATAAACAATCAATTTTGTAACTATTACTCAATCAATAAATTAATTCAAGAAATATAATCATTAACTAAGGAATAAATACATTAATTAAACAATGAATTAACCCAGTAAGAAATGGTAAACCCATAAACTAATCAGACAATCAGATCAAACAATAATCAAGCAATTAAATAACCATTCATCTATTCATCATGATAAATCAATAAATGATGTAATCTGAATGTGTTACCTGTGAAGGTATAGCGTATATATCTCTAGAAGGATCAATACGACCTCCCAGCTCAAATATAGTTCCCTCTTCCTCACCCTCTACTCCTGTACCTTTAGTAGGATTAATAACTAGCTCAGATATAGTTCCCTCCTCCTCCCCCTCTACTCCTGTACCTTCAGGAGGATTAATAACTAGCTGAAATGCCCGTGGAATTTTTAAAAAAAATCGAATTTTGAAAGAAAATAATTTGATTTGAAGAAAAAAAATCTATTTTTAAAAATAAAAATTTTAAATTGATGCCCATGTTACTCCTAGGATACCCATTGGTCCTTAAAAAAATGTCAGCCAATCCGGTCCAACGATTTGGCCAATTAACATATATACAAATATATATACATGAGAAAAGAGCTTTATTACAGCCTGTGCTAGCTTCGGCGGTCTGCCCCTAAGCCTAAACTACCCAAAGCGCTATGCCCCCATTGCAGTCTGCGACGCCTCAGAGAGCCTAACCTAGCCTTTGGAAAGTTGCCGCTTGGGAAATTGCACATTTAGGAAGATAGCCACTATGGTAAATACCCATGGGAAGTTGCCATTTGAGATGTAAAGGCTGTAGATGCTTCGTTTTTGGGTTGTTTTTGGTTTTATATTCTTTCAGGGTCATAATTTAGCAAAGTGTAAGAAAGCAACTGTACTTTTTTTTTTTTAAATATTCATTTTTCCTACACTTTGCCAAATTTTGACCCTGGCTGAAGTTAATTTATGTTTTTACCTACGCTGTCTGGGGATAGAGGGGGACCTCCGGATCCTCCAGAATCATATTCATCCTCATCCTCATCCTCCTAGACAATGTTATCAATACAATTAACATAACCTTCATCATCAACATTATAAACATAATAATCAACATCATCATCAACATTATTAACAAAGCAGTCAACATTGTCACTCTGGACTTAAAGACGGTTTCTAGTTTTAGACCTGACAAATCCAATTGTAGAAAACTTTTAAAGCAATCGATCATCTGCAGTGCTTGTTTTGTTATCACAAGTATCAAAAATATTGAAGAACCCAAGAAGACACACAGAACTACATCAGTTTTCAAAATTTGTTGCGATAGAACAAGAAAATAAATTTAAATCTCTCCTTTGTCATTTTTATGTGTGAATGAGCTCAAGTATTTTGGTATTTAACAATGGTCTTCTTTCTTGAGCATATAATATCTTGATTAACACCACCACCCCCAATTAAAAATATGTATTCAAATGAGAAAATAGAATGAGTCTGAAATAGAACTATATTCAGGGGCGTATTCAGGAATTGTTTTCTTTCCAGGGGGGGGGGGGCTCAGGACCCGTTGGGGCCTGAAAACCCCCTGAAATCCATAGATTTCACTATTCCAGGGGGGCTTAGCCCCCATGGCCCCCCCTGAATACACCTCTGACTATAATACAAAACAAAGGAGTATTCCCTCTATGAAGAAGGGAGGTGATATTATTGTATTTGTATAGTATTTAAATATGATTATAGCCTAAGAGCCTAATATCACACCATCATTATTATTTTTCAAAACTATAAAGTTCACATATTGTTTAAAAAGTCTTATTATTATGAATTAAAATGAATTGTAGTAGATTTTAATTCCATTTAAATTGAAAAACACAAAAAGCCCCCTAAAAAAACCAATAAAACCCACTTGACTGGCTTTTCTTAAAAAACCGGGGTTTTACTAACCCTGTCAACATAATCAACATCATCAATATAATCAACATCATTCCATCCATTTATATACTTTGCTAATGGGTTGTCAGGCTGTCCTTCTGTATTCGTTAAACGGCTGAACCGATTATGCCCAATTTTTTTGTGGGACCTCATACGACACCAAGGAAGGTTTATGGGTGGTAGAAATTTAAAAAATTGCATTACAAAAATTCACGAAAACAAAACTATAAAAATGCAAAATTTGTGTTAACTGAAGAAGAGAAAATACTGCAGATAGAGCAAAACAATTAAGGAAAACAGATATATAAAGAATCTAATAAAACCTCTGGTTCCAGACTATCGTCCTCTCTAGTAGTATCATGTATCCCCAGCAGCAGAGAATAGTCCATTATATCGTGCTGAAACATACAACATTAGTTAACTTTTACCTGAGAACAAATAAAATAAAATCAGGCTGTTAGGGATGTCCTACCCCCCCCCCCCCCCCCCCCGACTTGAAATGAATTTACTAATTCAAGAATGAAGTCAAGGATTTAATGGAAGGAAAGTTATTTCAGAGGTGTACGCATCTCTTGTACTGCAGTGTACTGTCACTGGGCGGTAATGTAAACACAAGATGGATGTTGAAGCCTGACATGAGATCCATCTTTCACATATATAATCAATGAAATATTCTGGTCATAGGAAACTATTATGTGAATTATTAAAATTATCAAAATTCAATGATTTAAACCTCCTCGGACACTAAACCAACATTGAAGCATCTATTCTTGTTTACAAATTCCGCCCGGAGAGAACTGGTTTCAATATGTACGCAGAGTATACGCAACTGCAATTAACTCTCCTTGCATTACATTCTTGAATGAAGTGAGATCTTATAGCTTGTTCAATGTACCGTTTAAAAATAAAAATGAAAAGTATTTTCGTTGAATTCATGATTCTCAGCCATTTTTAATATTTTAAAGAAAAGGCAACATCAAAAAGTTAAAAAATTACCTAATTAATCAACTTCTTTTCTTGGGAAAAAATCATAAAAGTGCACCATAATATTCAATTATTATAAATGTTTTCTATATCTTAACAAAAACAAAAGGTTTTAGGCGAAAATAGACGAAAAAAAATTACGAAAAGGAAGAAAAAAGCTGATTAATTGAAGTCCCGTTTTCAATATTATTTCTAATTTAATACTAGCCTAATAATACTATACAAGCCTGAAAATATTAAATAAAAACCTTGGTTAGAAAATCCACATCAGCTGACAGGGTATCCATCAGCTTATCCTGGAGAAATATATATATTTCAACAAATTCAGTCAAATCAATTATTGCAGGACAAAAAAAAAGTGTTTTTCTCCATTCTCTATGGCCCCTGCGTCAAAATATAGCATTAAAATTATTTAAAAAATTGGATTATGTCTAAGAAGTTAAACTAAATTGGATTTTATTTTTAACGGGACAATGTCACTCTTGTTATAGTGTGTGTATGCTGAGTGCTGGGTTTAGCTGATAAAATTGAACTGTTGAGGCAGCTTTCAGTTTATTTCAGTTTATTTCAGTTTATTTCAGTTTATTTCAGTTTATTTCAGTTTATTTCAGTTTATTTCTGTTTATTTCAGTGAAAAATGAATGGGGGTTTAGGCTGAAACCTAAACATTTTAAGAGTTGATCGACACCTAAAAGAGTTCCATCTTATGTTCCTGTCTCGAGAAATTGTTATGATTTAAAACTGCGTCAAAACTATACCAAAACTTATATATGTGAGATTTGTATAGTATTCTAAGTTTTAAACAGATCATTTTCAGCAAATACGTAACCAATCTGAAAACGACGATATCCCAGAGAAGCCGGAAAAACTCAGGTTTACTCCATTTATAATTTGAATTTCATAATTTTTCATTTTAATAGATATTATTGATAATATAATTTATACGTCTGTATCATGTGATCAGAACTTCAACCATTGGCAGTGCAGTGTCATTGTAATGTGTCTTAGTCTGTATCACGTGACAATGATACTGAACTGGGAAATGGATACGCCTCAACACGGAAACAGATCTAACATTACTTTTGAGGAATTTCAGTTTTTTTTAGAAATTCGAGGAAATCCCTCAAAAGTTCAGAATTGTTGAGGGATTTCCGAATATTTTGTATCCGTTTCCTAATATTTATAGTTAAATGTTTTCCACTTTTTCTAGGTTGGTTTCCTCATATTTTTAGGTCAGTTTCCTCATATTTTTGATCCGTTCCGATTTGTTTGACGATTTTTTTTTTCATTTTTAAGAAATATTAATATATATTTAGTCGCAGAAAGTATACATTTTCATTTTAATTTTTGAAAACTGCATTGGATTTCTGATACTTTTAAGTAAATGTCAGCTGCGTTCAGTTCAATTAATTTAAAGTGACCCTCCATGCAAGGGTGCACTTAAAAGTTTTATCTGATCAAGTATTGATTATATAATATATATCTATGTTTATAATCTTGAAAACTGAATATTTTAAATGGGGGTTTCTCTAGTAATTACTAAAGTGACTTGCGCATTTCTACTGCAGAAAAACATATGGAATTATCAGGAAAAACGCTTAAACTAGAAAAAACGACAATATCTTCCAGATTATTGACCAGAAAAAGGTTTGAAGGGTAACATTGTGATTTGGGCATTGTCATCTTTGCATCCAATAAAAATCATTGATATTTTTTTCAAGATAAATAATTTACCTTAGCTTCGTCTCCGATGGATATTTTGATTCCATCATTCAAGAAATCATTATCCTAGGATTTACAGATTTTAATATTTTATCTGGGGTTTTTAAATGGTGAATATTGTTTGAAATTCCACATTTAAATTGTAAACATGGGTATAATAGTATCTTTAGCTACTTTTCCTAAAAATTGTATTTATTTTTCCAAAATCTTTAACAGAGTGCCAAAAAATCTTAAATATGTTTTCCGTTTCCCTTGTACGACTTTCGTAGATAGGGAGGAATAATTTTTAAAGATCTGGAGGGTTGATTTTATCTTCAGTATTGTAAGATTTTCTTGGGTAAAAGTATAAAAATCGTGAAATGGGTGGTGGGGGGGGGGGGGAAGTAAAATTGTAAATATATAACCCTGAATTTAACAATAACAAATTCTTAAATATGAAAAAAATGTTTTCCTTGAATGTTGGACAATCTTTTGCCTTCTCCTTGTCACTTGCTTCCCGATCAACTGTAGAACCTTAAACAAAATTTAATGAAAATCGAATTTCGTTGGAGCCTAAATATTTTAGATTTTGATCATTTAAAATCCTTCCCTGGGGTCATGTGAGGTCCCAAACTAAATTTGGGCCCGATCGATTCAGCCGTTTTGACGTTTATTGGATACAAACAGACAGACAGAAAGACAGATAGACAAGCAAAGTATATAGATAGAAGATTCATGTACTTATCTACAAGCATACTTTTGTACTGGATTTCTAATGTACTTGTACACTTTTTATTTAACTACATTTGTACAATACAATGAACATTGTACAATATACATTACAATGCAAAGTACACTTTTTTATCTGTAAGTGTTGTGCATACTTTTTTAATTTAAGGGTTTGCTAAATAAAATGAGTAAACTTTTTTTTTAAATAAGCATACAGACACAGTCAGGAAAATAGAAGAAAATTTAATTTTGAGATCCCCCTCCCCTTTGGGGTTTTGACCTTGAATAATACCTTTTGCTTCTCTCGAAAAGAAAAAATGTTTTTTTATAATGTTTTTATTCAACAAATGAAAGAAATTAGTGTTTCAGCAGGAAATCAATAATTAATGATTAAATCCAATAACTTTATGCATCATATTTTTTATTTATATAACATTCAACGCAATATTTTCGTGCAATTTAATGATTAAAAACATTTAATTTGAAAGAAAAATGGATTAAAAAATTCTGGCTTTTGGTTTGTTAATGTTCACCTTTGAGATCGTATTTCTTGTGTATTTTGAGATGTCCTCCAAGCACGTTTCTAATCACAACCATGTAGGTTTCCTGCACATTTCAGAAGTTAATCATTTGATATTTCTGGGCGCCTGAGAAGACGACATTGATTTCCCATATCTATATTATTCTAAATAAATAAAGGAGGATTTCTCTAAGTTAAATATTTTTAATTTTAATAAAATTCAAGATGAAAATTAAATTTCTGAAAACTAAATAAAAATTAAACTTTTCTAAATTAAAAATTGATATAATTAGTTTTATCTAGAAGTGCCATGTATGAATAATTCTTTAAACGTTGTTGGAATATTTCAAAGATTACAAATGAAGAAGAAAAAAGATCTATCAGACACATAACATTTTAATTATAAGAAAAAAACAATGATATTGCGAACTATTCATATATCAGATATTTCATAGAATGAAAAGATTTTACAAAGACAGAGGAGTAATACAGTTCTTTAAAAAAGTCTGCTACTTTTTATTAAAATATGAATCAAAATTTCTATTTAAAACCTTGTTTTACCTGATTTTCCACTGTGAGTCTATACATAGCTAGATACTGTGGAAGTAGGGTCTGTTAACAAAACAAAATAATGAGTTTTCATTTCATTTATTTAATTATTATTTTATTAATATTTTTCATTTCTATTTTTTTCTTCTACTATTCGTATTTTCTCTTAGCGACTCCTGAAGCCGTATAATTCTTAACAAAAATATTAGCAAGCGAACAATGAGCATTTCCAGGGTTATACACAATAGAGGAGACTTCAAAGACGACTAATAACTCTTCATTTTAATATTTGAAGGTTAAATTTAATTCTCTTGAAAACATTTGTAGAAGTTATGCGTTGGCAAAAAACCACTGCTACAGAAAACCATTGAAGAAAAAAGATTAAATTAATTTTATTTAAATCGTCTCTATAGTCTTGTCCTTTATGGGTAACTCTGTATGAAAACAATTAATAGACAGCAGACGTACATTTTTAGTGACAATTTATTAATAAAGTGGCACGTCCGATTGTACCCTTTAAATCTTACTGTGCCAATCTGATTCAATATTCTAGTTTTTAAAGCTAAAATTTATGTATTTTCAATTGCAGTTTCCCTGTAGAAGTTACCTGCAGATTTATGCTGCAAAGTAAAAGAAGGAAATCGTAATTATACACTTTTCAATGTGGAAAAACTCAAAATCTTCCCCATTATTACTTAGATAAAAATTTAAGGGGTACCTATTGAGAATCAGACATGCCAATCTATTGAGAATAACGTCTACAGCCCAATTTAAAAATTTATTCAAGACGACATTTTCCCTACCTTGCCATGTCGTTCCACAATATAAGGATGATACTCCTGGATACGGGAGTACTTTAAACAATGGACTCCAGAAAATACGAGAAGTTTAGTAATTTATTTTTTGTAACTAAAAAGTTTAAAGAAGCAAACCTAGTTTATCAAATCAGAATTGTATCAGATATTTTTTGAAATATATATATATACTTTTTATACAAGAACCCCGAGGTGGGAATTAATAAACAGCCAGACCAGAGAAGTGAAAGAACTAGCCCTACCTAATTCATCTAAATCATGCTATTCATAAAATCCCACCTCAGGCTTTGGTAAGTTTAGTTTATTAAATCATTTAAAGATCTGCCTTTAGAAGCTGATGCATCTCTGCCACCTCTATTCCAGTCAGTGTCTTCATCATGTACATCCTGAACATCGTCATCATGTTTAGATCAGAGCTGGAAACTTTTAAACTGACAAGTTAAACTCATTCTCAACCAGAAGAGAGATTAACCGATCTCGGATTGATAAAACATGAACAGAAAGTCTGTTAGGTAGGTTGAACCGATCTCGGATTGATAAAACATGAACAGAAGGTCTGTTAGGTAGGTTAAGGTTGAACCGATCTCGGATTGATAAAACATGAACAGAAGAGTTGTTAGGTAGGTTGAACCGATCTCGGATTGATAAAACATGAACAGAAGGTCTGTTAGGTAGGTTGAACCGACCTCAGATTGATAAAACATGAACAGAAGGTCTGTTAGGTAGGTTGAACCGATCTCAGATTGATGAAACATGAACAGAAGGCCTGTTAGGTAGGTTGAACCGATCTCAGATTGATAAAACATGAACAGAAGGTCTGTTAGGTTGAACCGATCTCGGATTGATAAAACATGAACAGAAGGTCTGTTAGGTTGAACCGATCTCGGATTGATAAAACATGAACAGAAGGTCTGTTAGGTTGAACCGATTTGATTGATAAAACATGAACAGAAGGTCTGTTAGGTAGGTTGAACCGATCTCGGATTGATAAAACATGAACAGTAAGTCTGTTAGGTAGGTTGAACCGAACTCGGATTGATAAAACATGAACAGAAGGTCTGTTAGGTAAGGTTGAACCGAACTCGGATTGATAAAACATGAACAGAAAGTCTGTGTTTTTGAACCGAAATCGAATTGTTGAAACCTTTGAAGATTTATCCAACGGGAAATCGTATTAACTATTTACCTGGAAGAAGTATGATTCTAACTAAATATGTCGGTTTAAAATTGTATAGCTCAGTTCTAGTTTGATTTTCATATTTTCATAATAAAAATCCTTTAAACTTTACACTTTCTTTAAAATTACCACCATTGAAATGGTTTTCACCACTAAAAAACTAAACTGTTTCCTCCCAAAAAATAAAAAATGAAAAAGAAAAATATCTAAAACTAATTTATCACCTGTCAGCACTGATGTAGAATTTTGCTCCACTCCGTCCAGGGTTATCTACAGGTCTAGGACTCTACACAACAAAGTACAGGGTAAGCATCAATCAATCAATCAATCAATCAATCAATCAATCGACTGCTAGATCCAAATTAATAAATCAACCAACTACTCATGAATTGGCGATTCAACAAGAAATCAATTAATTCACCACCCAATCAATTTGTAAATTAAACAAGCAATCTATCTATCTAATCTCTTAATCAACCAACCAAGCAATCAATTAATCAATCAATATATCTATCTATCTATCTATTATTCAATAAATCAGTTAACCTTGGTAAGACTGTTAAGGAAATCTAAGTCATCTATTCCGAATCTTTCTCGAATATTCCGGAACACAAGAGGACAGTACTCCTTCACCTAACAATAATAAAAAGATCCCTAAAATATTATTCAGGGGTTGTTCTGGTTGGTTCATGGGTCGTTTTTGGTTTTTATATTCTTTCAGGGTCATTAGCATTGTGTATGAAAAGTAAATATATTTCAAATTGTTAATTTTAAATATTACCCCTCCCCTATCAAGGGGTTAATAATTCTTGAAAATTATACCCATGCATGAGGCAGTTCTAATAAAGTGTTGCCTGCGCTGTTTAATATTTTTGTCAAACAAAATCAAAAGGGAAAATTTTAAATTAATTAATTAATTGATAGTTTACCTTGAAATGTGAGGGAAGGTTTTCTTTATTAAAAGACTGATTATCAATCTTTACTTTAGAGTATGCACGGAAATCATCGGGCATTAACATCACTAAATAGATAGATAGATATTATACAATAAATATTCAAGAATGATGGATAGATAGATATATGGCTAAATAAATAGATAGATATTATATACTGAATATTCAAGAAGGATGGATAGATAGATATATGGCTAAATAAATAGATAGATACTATATACTGAATATTCAAGAAGGATGGATAAATAGATATATGGCTGAATAAACAAATAAATATTATATATCTAATATTCAAGAAGTATTGATAGATAGATATATGGCTAAATAAGTAGACTAATAGAAGATCATGAACATGACCATTATTTACTATAAGGTAGATGACCTGAGTCTGAGCCAACCAATCAAAGTGTCAATTGCATAAACCGAACGGTGAAATATTTTATGAGATTGTCGGAACCCAGAAGGAATATCCAAAAGAGAGGATTAAGCCGAAAATCAAGTGTCCAAAGTGGAGATTTAGCAATCAGGAGAGTTTTCCCCTCGGTTACCCAAAACAGATCAGACTTCAAAAACAACTGATCAGAATTTATTCTGTGGTTTCATATCTTGTATTCATGGTTTGATTTAGCAAGATACTTTTTTTCTTTACAGCATCATAAATTGGCTCAACAAAATTATACTTCTGAATGAATTGAAACAAGAAGCGTCTCAGGTTGTCATATGTAAGTACATCCATTGTGGGTAACCCTGAATCATAGATTTGTGGGTAATCTTGTATTTATGTTGTACCAATGTACAAGGTACATTTAACAATACCTGGTACATGTACATGCTGTATTTCTTAAACAGTGTGGTTTGTGGGTAACCTTGTATTTATGTTGTTACACGGTAAATAAACAATACCTGGTACATGTACATGCTGTAGTTCTTAAACATTGTGGTTTGTGGGTAACCCTGTATTTATGTTGTACACGGTACATAAACAATACCTGGTACATGTACATGCTGTAGTTCTTTAACAGTGTGGTTCACTCCCCACATGAAAACAGAGAGAAAAGGATCCTTAGACCTGAAAAGATAAAAAAAATTGAGGTTTTTTACTGCACCTTGAAGAGAAAAAATAATTTTAAGAGGAAATATTTAAAATGCATAACATGGGAAAGACTGATTGAACAAGCACTACATGTTCGAGAGAAATATTAATTCTATACGTTCAAGAGAAATACTGATTCTACATGTTCAAGAGAAATACTGATTCTATATGTTCAAGAGTAATACTGATTCTACATGTTCAAGAGAAATACTGATTCTATATGTTCAAGAGAAATACTGATTCTTCATGATCAAGAGAAATACTGATTCTACATGTTCAAGAGAAATACTGATTCTTCATGTTCAAGAGAAATACTGATTTTATATGTTCAAAAGAAATACTGATTCTTAATGTTAAAGAGAAATACTGATTCTTAATGTTGAACAGAAATACTCATTCTAGATTTTCAAGGAAAATACTGATTCTACTTCTACATGTTCAAGAGAAATACTAATTCTTCATGCTCAAGAGAAATACTGATTCATATGTTCAAGAGAAATACTGATTCTAAATGTTCAGTAGAAATACTGATTCTAAATGTGCAAGAGAAATACTGATTCTATATGTTCAAGAGAAATACTGATTCTATATGTTCAAAAGAAATACTGATTCTTCATGTTCAAAAGAAATACTGATTCTTCATGTTCAAGAGAAATACTGAGTCTACATGTTCAATAGAAATACGGATTCTATATGTTCAAGAGCAATACTGATTCTACATGCTCAAGAGAAATACTGATTCTAAATGTTCAAGAGAAATACTGATTCTAAATGTTCAAAAAATGTTTACACTCTGGCTCTCAGAAACATTTTTGATAGATAAGAAGTCTTGTTGTGAGTTTACGTTCGGATATTAGAATATATTGTGCATTTGCAAATAAATGAACTTTGAACAACTTATCTTAACATAAACTACTTCTTACTTTGCAAAAAAAATGGCGAGCCTGCCTATTTCGGAAAGGCTTGCTAAATCCCTCTTACAGGTTTTTCTAAGGAGACGATAAAAGTGAGTTTAATTGTGAGTAAATATATTTTATTACTCCCTTTTAACATTTTAGTGACCATTATAATACCTGAAAATTTTCCGCTTCGGATGTTTTACTTTGAATCTTTTTGTTTTTGTTTTCAGAGCGCCCTCCATTACAGAGCTCATCTTGAAATCGTCTAAAAAAATATTTATTCCATACAAATAGTCGATATGTATCACTGTTATACCTACTGCCGGTTAAAAAGAAAAGAAAATGCAGTTATCGTTAAATGTAATACGAAACAGGTTTTAGCAAAGGATGTCGTTCTCCGTCTGATATTTGACAATTTGTAGATTACACGGGCAACGCCGGACACTTCAGCTAGATTGTTATATTTGATAATGAAACACTCGTGACAAACATGACACAAACATAACGTTAAATCTCTGATTGAAATATACATATACTTTAATATCTATTTTCAAAACTCTACCCTAAGATCGGATAATAAGTCTGTTAGTAAAATTGTGAAAGTGTTCAAGTGTTGTCATATATTTAATTATCAGTTGTTTCTGTCTGTCACCTGACTAATTTCTCTCCAGATCTGAGTCAGCTGACATTTGTGTGTTGTTGTTTTTTGCGCATGCGCAGTGTAAAATCTGACTCCATATTTCGGTATAATTTTATTAATTTAAAATTATTGATTAACTAATGATTATTATTAGGATTTGTGAGCAAGGGAGGATTCAAGGCCGCGGGATTACCTTCGCCCCCCCCCCCCTGACGGACTCAGTGGGTGGCAAGGCAACGCCCCCAATTGTTAATTTGCGGCAAAAAATGTTCATTATTTGCTAAAATGACTTTATTAAATTATTTTATTGTTTGTCAAGTTATTTAAGTGGGAATGATATTAAATACGAAAACAAAGAACTTGGTATCAAATCATGGATAAGGAGAATGTCGTACTTAAAATAAGGAACAACAATTCAGGTAAGAATTAAGCAATTTAGGATTTTAGGAACGTTGGTCAAAAAAGAAAGAACGTTATATAAAAAGTGAAATGGGTCGATTGGTCTGTTAAAAGTCATACTTCAGTCTAAAACTCGTCTTCCATTTCTAGAGTTTTCTGGCTATCACTGCATACTATGTAAATGCATTACTCAGGACTTCAGAGAGTAATACAGAACTATATAACAGATGGATACAATGCATGATAAAAATATACATATTTCTAAGTGGTCTACAAATGGGACGGATTTGACTTCAAAGGAAAAAAGAGCAAATTGAGCACATTAAACTCGAGGGAAGGTAAATTTGCACCCTCCCTAGGTGGGCCATACTTTTAAAATTTATTTAATTAATGCCTGCCTCCCTTTTATTTATCTATTTATCTATATCATTTTTATGAAGTTTCATCAAAACTTTGTAAGAATTCAATTTCACATCTGTATCTATATTATATTTCTATCTATATATATCTATCTAATTGAAGTAGAGCTGGATGATAATACTAAAATGAAAATGTAACGGGTTCTTTAAGGAAAGTTAGCGCGGGTAACAGTCGGCTCTTATCTGATCTATCTATCTGTCTACCTGTATCCTGTATTATCATTTTTTATATTTTATAAATATAATATGTCCAGTGTCCTGCAGTATCCAGTGTCCTGCAGTATCCAGTGTCCTGCAGTATCCAGTGTCCAGTGTCAAGTGTCCAATGTTTAGTGTCAAGTATCCACTGTCTATTGTCAAATGTCTAGGGTCCAGGTCTCGTGTCTAGTGTCTAGTGTCAAGTGTCTTGTGTCTAATGTCTCGTGTCTGGTGTCTAATGTCTAGTGTCTGTGTCTATTGCCTAGTGCTTAGTTTCAAGTGTCTATTGTCCAGTGTCTAATGTCCAGTGTCCAGTGTCTAGTTTCTAGTTTCTAGTGTCTAGTGTCTAGTGTCTAGTGTCCAGTGTCTAGTGGCTAGTGTCTAGTGTCTAGTGTCTAGTGTCTAGTGTTTTAGTATCCAGTTTTAAGTGTCTAGTGTCCAGTTTCTAGTGTTTAGTGTCTAGTGTCTAGTGTCGGTGTCAAGTGTCCTGTGTCCTGTGTCTAGTGTCCTGTGTCTAGTATCCTGTGTCTAGTGTCCTGTGTCTAGTGTCTAGTGTCGAGTGGTAATTGACTAGTGTCTAGTGTTTAGTATCAAGTTTTTAGTGTCTAGTGTCTAGTGTCTAGTGTATAGTGTCGGTGTCAAGTGTCTAGTGTCAAGTGTCTAGTGTCCTGTGTCCTGTGTCTAGTGTCCTGTGTCTTGTGTCTAGTGTCTAGTGTCTAGAGTCTAGTGTCTAGTGTCCAGTGTTTAGTATCCAGTTTTTAGAGTGTAGTGTCTAGTGGTGTTCAAAATATTTTGTTCTTCTTAGTTGCTCTTTAATAAGAGGGGTTCCGGGTTACCATTAAAAACATATTATAAGAGTGCAATCATACACGTGCAATTTTCTACAGTTTGATGTGAAGTAAATCCTTAGATTCGAATCCGTAAACATATTAAACAGTGCACGTATACATCCTTTGTTTAATTATAATTAAGATTGTAAAATGGATTCTAATCTAGAGATTTGGAAACTACATTTACAAGCAGCAGAGGTATAATTAGTTTACTTAAAAGGGAGTGTTCGCCAAATTGAAAAATAAACCTAATCAAAAACAAAACATTAAAAAATGCAATTAATCAAAACATTAAAAATGCAATTAATTATGCGTATTTTATTGCACAAAAATGTCTCTGAAGGCAAGAATGTTCGTTTTTCATGTAAACAAAGCATTTTTCTGCATAAAACTTGGTTTCCGTTTTATTAAAAAAATAGTATAAAAAGAACTGAACTTTTGCCGCGAGCTAAAAATGTCTAATCTCTATCTATCTTTGTAACCTGATGGTGTAAACATTTTAAACTACACTTTCTAACATAATTAAAAGTTTGAATTCTCAAAGGTCTACGACATTATGCAGTTTGGTAAGATAGTGCTGGATTTCAAAATTAGAGTTTGCAGCAACAATATATTTCCTGTTACGAACCCGCACTTTCTCACACACAAAAAACATCTTTGCTTAATTTTATAATGATTATCATTTTTGTTTTCATCGAGTTTTTAGTCATGTATGATTAGGCTAGTTTCCACGTATTTAAAAAAAACAAACTTTTTTTAATTCAAAATTGGGGTACTGTGAATATTTATAAATAGGTTAACATTTTTAGTTAAATATGTATGTAGAACCGGTTTTGATTAATTTTCACGAATTTTATCTCTGTTTTAACAGTTTTAAACCGTTACAAGAATATTCATTAATTAATTGTGTTTTTTTACTAAGTAACTCTTTTATGTAAAACAATTTGAATGGCCATATTTTGGTTTTGGACCATGTTACCAACATTTACTAACAGTCCTTTAAAATTGAGAAAAGTGGCTTCATTAATTTATAGAACTTGAAAACTATAAACTAATATTTAAACCAGAAACAAAGGTCTAAATCTTGAGCTTAGAAAAATAATGAACTTGACTTAATTTAGAGTATTAGCAACACATAAACAAAATTAAGATTATGAAATGATCTTATATGATTTTATGTTTGTGCAGTATAACCGTTGATAAAAGTTGTAAAGTTTGAGCTGAATTGAAATCATAAGTATTGAAGTGGAAATTTTGATTATGATGCGTTACGCGGCATTAATACAGTGGTCAGCGTTTATATCACCACAATTATGACGAATTTTCTTGTTTTGATCTCGATCTAACAAGCTTTTAACAAATTACCTAAGGTTACAATTGTAAACAAAGGCTTTATGTTATGATGACAGTTTCTCTTTACTCCCATGTTTATGTGCAGTATCCATGCTGTTTAAAAGCTTGGTATAATTAAACAATAGAAATCGAAAGTATCTTCATTGTTTTGATATAATACGACGACGACTTTACTATAAACTGTTCAGGGAATTCTCTCTGGTTTACCTAGACAGATGTTTCAAGGATTAGCATATAATCGTACAGAACAAGGTATTAAAAACTGAATAAATTTGAAAGGAACTAAACATCTTGCCTCAAATTCAAATTTGCCACAAACTCTGATTTTCTTATTCCTTTATCTTTGCAACCCAATGTCGTATGATCTTAGATATTTCAAACTAGAAATTCTGTTAAATAAAATAATCTAAGTTTAAAATATATAATGTTTACACCATCAAACTTCAAAGATAAAGGGATTAGAAAATTTGAGTTTTTAGCTGGCAAAGAATAAATTTCTTAGATTAAAAAATAAGTTTTTAGCATAATTTCCCTTGTTCTTGTTTTAACTGAATTATTTCTTATAATGATCAGTGCATATTTTAAAAATTAAATCAATTACTGATAAAAAGATGTTTTCTAAAACTCCATAAAAAGATATAAATTCACTGTTTTCTAGATACCACTGTAAAACCCTTCATTGTGGTTTTTCATTATGCAGTACATAAGAATACAATGTACTCTAGGTACAGCCAAATCTGGAGGAAGTTGTACATAATAATATAATGTACCTTAGGTTCAGCTATATCTGGAGGAGGTTGTACCATAGATAAATAAATAAACATAGATAGCTTATGTACGCAAAATCACCAAGAATTGTACAGTCCGCGAACTCATACTTCTAGGGGTCAAAGTGTACTTCAATGATAAGCGGGGTGGTTTGATGTTTTAATGGATTTCATAATTATTAAACCACTCAGGAGTGAATTTTATTTTGAGAATATCAAATTATTTCACTGAACAATATATCATATTGACGAGAACTGAAGAAGGACATGAGAAGGACTAAACTAACTTAAATTTCTTTTTACAGAAGTCATGTACACCACAAGTACTCAATGACATAAGAACAGCCAATGTTCACAACCGACCTAGTTAATCTATATAATAGGAATATCTTTAAAACATCTCTGTACATTTATATCTTTCAAGATGAAAAATGTCGTCTTATGCGCAATCTATCTTTATCTATGGGTTGTACATAATAATACAATCTATACTCTATATACAACTATGTCTGGAGAAGGATGTACATAATTATACAATGTACTCTAGGTACAGCTAGATCTGGAGGAGATTGTACATAATTATAAAATGTACTCTAGGTACAGCTAGATCTGGAGGGGGGTTGTACACAATAATACCATGTACTCTAGGTACAGCTATATCTGGACGGGTTTATACATAATAATACAATGTACTCTAGGTACAGCTATGTCTGGAGGAGGGTGTACATAATAATACAATGTACTCTAGGTACAGCTATGTCTGGAGGAGGATGTACACAATTATACAATGTACTCTAAGTACATCTAGATCTGGCCGGGGGTATACATTATAATACCATGTACTCTAGGTACAGCTAGATCTTCAGGGGGTTGTACATAATAATACAATGTACTCTAGGTACAGCTAGATCTGGAGGGGGTTGTACATAATAATATGATGTACTCTAGGTACAGCTAAATCTGGAGGGGTATGTACATACTAATACAATGTACTATAGGTACAGCTAGATCTGGAGGGGGTTGTACATAATAATACAATGTACTCTAGGTACAGCTAAATCTGGAGGGGGTTGTACATAATAATACAATGTACTCTAGGTACAGCTAAATCTGGAGGGGTATGTACATACTAATACAATGTACTATAGGTACAGCTAGATCTGGAGGGGGTTGTACATAATTATACAATGTACTCTAGGTACAGCTAAATCTGGAGGGGGTTGTACATAATTATGCAATGTACTCTAAGTACAGCCAGGCGCGCAACTAGACATTTGGTTAGGGGGGGGCTAGGTGGAAATATGTCGCGCGAAGCGCGAAAAATTTTTTTGGCCCCCCCCTTAACATTTTTAGGGGGGGGCAAGAAAAATGTGTGTTATACTTAAACAATAAAAAACTAACCTTTCCAACCTGATATTCAGTAAGTCAACACATCTGATATGAAATAAAACAAGAAATCTATTCTGGTCAGGGGCGGATACAGGGGGGGAGGCGGAGGAATTTGCCCCCCCCCTGAATTTGGAATTTTTTGTTCCTATTTTCAGAATAGCTTCTATAATAGCATGGTTAATTGGGAAAGAAACCCTAGTGCAAAACAGGAAAAATATCTGTCTTGATAAACTATAATGTGTGAAAAGTTAAAAATCTAGTTTTTTAGTCTTTTGTCATTAATTTTCACTCTTTTTGAGTCTTTTAAGTCAAAAAAAATTTTCGCCTGTGCCGCGATTTTTGGTTCCTAATTATGAATTTTTTTTTTTCCTAAAAAATCTTGCCCCCCCCCCTCACTTAAATCCTTTATCCGCCCCTGATTCTGGTATAAATCACAAAAATAATTAATTTACAATACAAATTACATATATATTATATATGTATAAATTTTCATTAGTTATCCATAAATCAAATATGTACATTGTACTCAAAAACTGACAAGAAATGCCTTTCATTAAAAATTCATGATTTTACATGAAATATATTTTTTTTAATATGACACATCACACAATATTTGCGGTGAACATGAAGCCGAAGGATTAATTTAATAGTTGTACTACAGTATTAAAGCAATATCATAATAAGTGGCAGAACTGATAGTGAAAATATCTAAAAAATACTTAATAAACCCCCTTTCCCTTTCCCAGGAAAAAAACTGAATAGTGAAAACAACAAAGATTAAGGCACCTTGGAACCTTGTCAACCTGTTCTGATCTACGGCAGTAGTTAGGCTCGGAGACGAAGGGGGTCTGTGTGTGTGTATATATGGTGTATTAAGTGCTATACGGATTGAACTATAAGCTCAATAAACTAACGTTCAATTATCTTTTTTTATTTTACGATAAGAGCTCTTAAATTTCCTCAGGGTCAGGATTCATGAATCGCTAAATTGCAAAACAGGGTGGACTTCGTCACTTCTTGCCCCCCCCTACAGGGGGGGGCAAGACTTCTCTAGGGAGGGGCATGCCCCCCCCTTAATCAGGCTAGGGGGGGGCCTGGCCCCCCTGGCCCCCCCCCTAGTTGCGCGCCTGAGTACAGCTAGATCTGGAGGGAGTTGTTCATAATAATATATTGTACTCTAGGTTCAGCTATATCTGGAGGGGGTTGTACATAATAAAAACAATGTACTCTAGGTACAGCTAGATCTGGAGGGGGTTGTACAGACCCATTTTCCATCTTTTCCTTCCTGGCCTTCGCCCTGGCTGTCGGAAACTTTATCATGAATATGAACGGAAGGTAACTTACAGACATAAATTTCACTGGAAGGGTATCATTCATTTGGCGTACAGTCCCGGTTTGCCTTACATAGTCAGTAATTGTACTGTACATCTTGCTATAGCTGGTTAAACCGGAGTTTACAGTGATACAGTGTGTATCGCTAAACATGAAAATTAAAAAAGGACCATGGCAAAGTGATTCAAAGGTTGCAAGATCTCATCCAAAATTTGATGAGCATGGTGCCCATTATCTCTTTAAAAAGTATAAGTGAATTTGTAAGGTAAAATTATAGGTTAAAGAATTGCGACACTTTAAGCGTTAAAAAATTGATTCAATGCAAGAGATACATAATATGAAATCAACATGAAGTTCTCCAGACAGACATATATAAACTGTTCATGTTAAGAATATATTTTATAAGAAAGGTCTGTTTACTGTTTTGAAAAGTATTTTACTTTTTACACTGTAAATACATATTGAAGATATTGTTGTTTTAACATATAAAAAAGTGTTGAATTCGGGAATTTACGTTCTTTGATTCTGCTGTATAAAATCTGCAAGTCAAGACAGTTATAAATCATCAGTTTTTAGATTGAACTGAGGTGAAATGAATATTTCCCTAATAAGACAAAAGTAAAAAAATGTCGTTTTTGTAAATCATATGTTATTATTAGTTTTCTAACTATTTTATCCTGGAACTGTTCACGATTATTTTGGTGTAACATAAATACATAAATTTGGCTTGTCTGGCACTATGTCTGTACCCAATAAACGCCAAATCGGCTGAACTGAACTGGCCGAAATGTTCCCATGGCAACTGAAAAATGTAGAAATTTTTTTTTTTTAACATGCGCCAATTTAAACAGAAAAATCCGTGAATATTGTTTAAAAGAAAAAGGGGGGAAATCGTCCTAAAAGCCCTGATATGTTTAGAAAGAAGAGAAGTTGTAAAACCTTTGGTCTAATTAAATGATACGTGGTGGGGTTTGAAAAATGTTTATTGGTAAAAACTTGTTATACGGAATATATGGGAGCGTTACGACTGTGGAGTTAGTTGTAGGGGGATTTAGGGAGCTTCTCAACTACTGGTATTGATGAATCTTCAGAACACGGAGCTGTCTGGAGCAGAACTGTAGAAGGCTGCTTCTGTAGGGAGCTGCTTGAAGCTGCAGGTGTAGATGAACCTTTAGAGCTGTCTGGAGCAGAACTGTAGAAGGCTGCTTCTGTAAATCTGCAAGTGTAGTTGAACCTTTAGAGCGGTCTGGAGCAAAACTGTAGAAGGCTGCTTCTGTATGGAGCTGCTTGAAGCTGCAGGTGTAGATGAACCTTTAGAGCTGTCTGGAGCAGAACTGTAGAAGGCTGCTTCTGTATGGAGCTGCTTGAAGCTGCAGGTGTAGATGAACTTTCTGGTTTCGAAATTGACAATTCTATTCTGATTTTAGAATATCAATAAAATCCCTTTTTTGTTGGTATAGAGTTGGTATGGAACTCCGGAGCTGCTCAAGGATTGGTTACAACTGTCTATCTCATGTTTTCCAGATTTCCACGTTAGATTTTAAGGCGTAACCTTGAGCCTATACTTAAAAATACAGTGTTCACAGGATGTTCACAAAAAATACAAACATATAAATACATTTTAACAATTCATAAAAGCACAAATATCAATTCTTTAAGAATCTGTTACATTTGTTTGTGAATTTTACAAAAAAGGAGTTTTAGTTTATGTAAACACCCAACAGAGTTCCCATATACAGAAATAATTGATTCCAACCATGATCTGACATTCTTTGTAAAAATACGCACTTTGAACTCCGTTACAAAGTATTCATGAGTGTTCAAGTTTAGGTATGTTTAGAAAGAAGAGAAGTATTCATGAGTGTTCAAGTTTAAGTATGTTTAGAAAGAAGAGAAGTATTTATGATTGTTCAAGTTTAAATGAAGCAACTATTCATGAAAATACAGTGCTTGCGAGCTATTCAATTCTCAGGTACACAAAAATAATTGTTCTTGCAAATTTTCTTTTTATTATTATGGTTTGAAACTAAAGATCGTTAATTTATCGCAAATCATGGTTTTTTTCTCCTCATTAACTGAACACCTGCCTCAAACTTTAATTTTCTAAATCCCTTTAATTTTGCAACCTAACGGTTAAACCTGTAATATTTTAAACTGTTTAATCTTCTAAAATTCATAAATTTTGAATTATCTAAGATATACAGGGTGTCCCACATCATATTAGACCGTCAACGGGTCTAAAAATTGCGATTTTCGGGACTAATAAGAAAATTTAATTTGAATAAATCAATTTGAAAAATAACATAAGGCTTATATAAAAATTTTCTTGCGGAAAATGATAAGTTCTTCGAGTATTAAGGGTTTATTTTGTCGTTAAAGATTAGAGATAATCTAATATGATATGGGACGCTCTGTATTTAAAACAGCAGGTTAAAGGGAGTGTTCGCGAAAAATGAAAGGGGGTATAGGCTTGATGCGATAAAAAAGCGCTTTTGATCGCTACTAATCTTACTTCTATCTGTTGCGTCTATAAGGAGAAAATTGTTAAAGACGTCTCATACCGAATAACTTAGCGGCCATACAAATTCAGAAAATTGCAACTATGACTTAGACCGTAAAAAATCAATTTGATTTCAAACAAATCATTCAGATATTACAACCTATAGTCATCGATTATCTTTAGCCACATTTGTAAATAGTTTATATTTTATAATATTTTTCAATTAATTTGTTTGTTTCTCTTGTCGCTTGCGCAACTATCTAAGAATGCCGCACACCACTCACAACTTTCGAAATCCGTTGAAAACGTTTTCTAAAAAGTAAAATAAAAAATCTTCTTTTGATCCCGATGGGGTTGAGCTATAATGCTTTTTCTATGTCATTAAGAAATATAATATGTGTAATAAATAATATATGAAATATGTATTTGTTAGATCTGCCTTGAATAGTGTGGGTGTAGATGATTGGTGCATGAAAAAGTAAGCAATTCAGGTTCTATTCTACAGTGATAACCAGAAATGGTTCTATTCTACAGTGATAACCAGAAAACTCTGGAATAGCGAGACGACTTTCAGACTCCATAAATGACTCTAAATAGTGCAATGAACATGAGACAACACAATTTTGGAGTGTAAAAAGGCCCAAATAACTTAAAAAATGATTTTATAATTTACTCGAAAAACAATTTACTTTGTCACCGCATCAAATACTATTTATTATTGCTTCAATGTCGTTTTCCTGGTTATAACTGTACCATAGAACTAAGTTTTTGCCACAAACTAAAATTTTCTAATATCTTACCTCATGTTGTAAACTTTAGGTATTTGATGTACAAAAAATTCATAATTTAAAATATCAAAGATTTAAAACATCGGGTTGCAAAGATATTGCTGGATTTGTCAAAAACTTATTTACTTTATCTGTAAAAATATAGAAGAAAACTTAATAAAAAGGGTTCTTTTTTTGTTTTGTTTTTGCTATTCGAGGTTACGAGAGAGACGGATTTATTTTTCCAAACTTGAAAGGAAATGTAATTTCAAATAGTTGAGCATATGTCCGATTTCTGTTTGTCAGAACTGTGATTTATCTTTAATAAAATATTTATCTTTTTAATTGTGATTTCTGTATTAAAGTGACTTGCGGATTTCTTTAGAATTAACTAGATTTTTTTAGAATTAAACACTTTTCAAACTTTTCAAGAATTCACATCTATCTTTGAAAATAACGTTCGTTTTAACTGTTTTTTTCGTTATGCTTGTTCTCAATTCTAGCATTTGAATTTTGATCAAATCTAATTTTTTCCCCCGATTTAATCAAAGCTTTGGTGAAACTATAATATTTGTAAAATATTCTCGTTTGAATATTGTCTGTTTGTGTAGACAATACAGTACAGTACAGTACAGTACAGTACAGTACAGTACAGTACAGTACAGTACAGTACAGTACAGTACAGTACAGTACAGTACAGTACAGTACAGCAGCAAACAAATTATCTGTTTGTGTAGACAGTACAGTACAGTACAGTACAGTACAATACAGTACAGTACAATACAGTGCAGTACAATACAGTACAGTACAATACAGTACAGTACAGTACAGCAGCGAACAATTTGTCTGTTTGTGTAGAAAGTACAGTACAGTACAGTACAGTACAGTACAGTACAATACAGTACAATACAATACAGTACAGTACAATACAGTACAGTACAGTACAGCAGCGAACAATTTGTCTGTTTGTGTAGACAGTACAGTACAGCAGCAAACAAATATTTTATTTTTATTTTTATTTTTATTTTATAATTTGAAATTAACTAAAAATGTATTCCCAAATTTTATTTAAGATTTATGTGTGAAGGTGGGAGGGAGGCAAGAAAATATGGAAAGGTAAATATTTTTAAAATTTATTAAGAAATAAAACCTTTGAAAACAAATTAAGATATAACTTAAATTAAACGAGAACAATTTAATAAAAAACAAGGAGGTTGCAACTATAAACGAAAACTTGTAAAACAAGGATGTTGCAACTTTAGCCATAATAAAAAACCAAGGTGGTTGCAACTGTAACTAATTATAATAAAACAAGGAGGTTGCAACATAAACTAAAACTTAGGAAACAAGGATGTTGCAACTTTCGCCAAAATACATAACCAAGGTGGTTGCAACTGTAACTAAATATGATAAAGCAAGGAGGTGCAACAACTATAAATCAAAAACATAAAGGAAGGAGGTTGCAACTATAAATATTATATTCTAGGTTGGAAGAATAGTAGGTGAAGGAGGAGGAGAAACGTTGGGTTCTTGGAGAAAACATTCTCTACTTCAAGGATTAAAGTTAGTTTGGAAATTTTATCACGATTTAATAAAATTCAGGACAACTCATGTCATAGCATATCATTTTTTAAAGTTTGAAAATACGCAAAAAAAATATTAGTAAATTCGTGAACTTTTTTGTTATTGTTTTACACTGTACAAAGAGAAGATTCTTACAGATGAAGACACAATTAAAAGTTAAAATCGAAGATGGGCGCGAAGCGCCCTAAAAGCCTACTTTCTGTAAATTAGAAAACTAAGCCACTTCTGTAGATTTTTATCATCTATCACTTAAAGATGGTGTCCATCTTTTCCAAAAATAATAAAACGCTCAATATTCATTTAATTTTGACAAACCTTTTTTCTGGGAGATAAAAAAAAATTTGCAACTCTTCAATATAAAAATAAATGAAAAATAACGAAAATGGCTAAACTAATCCACGGATTAGCATGATAGAAAGTACAAAAAAAACGTACATTTAAAATTCTATTTTTTATTTTGCAGTGGTGAGAATTGTGGTGTTCTGTATTCTGAATGTTCTAACTACCCCCCTCACTACAGGACACCTGAAGTAGAGGATCCAGACTCCTTGGTCGAGGATACCTCTGCAGTCTCACATCCAGATCTAGACTTTAACTCATCAACCTCTTTAGGAATAGATTTTAAACCATTGTTTAGAGGGACTGTTAGCGTAATATTAAGTAGCCCTCCATGCAAAGATAGCAATGTCCAATTTATCTGCTTAAAAATGTTCTTATTAATAATAAAAAATTGTTGTTTTTCTTACCCAAAAAGTGTTCATTTCTCTAAATTTCTCCGTTATTTCTTAAAAGCAAGAAATGTGTAAGAACCACAAATGAAATAAACAATTTAGAAAAACAAAAACATGGATATCTTACATTATTAGACAAAGATGTTAAGGGTTCCGTTGCAAATCGGATATTGCCATCTGTGCATGAAGGGTTACTTGAAATTACATTTATTCCCATTTTTCGGCGCCATGATAAACTTCTCAATGACTAAGTGCAAAAATACAAAGTTCCGAAAAAGTGCCAAACTGTCCTAGAACAAAAAAACTAAACATTTATTTGATTTATAAAATCTTCCTTTCTTTAGTTTCTGTGATGTTGGCAGAATTAAGAAAAAGCAAGGATTTCCTATTTGCTGTAAACCAAGTTATAAAAGAGATATAAATAAATATAAAATAAATCAAACATCACACTTTGTTAAAGATCAGAGAGTACAACAATCCGGATCCCTTGACCTGGATCCGGACCTGGATCCGGATATGGATCCGGACCTGTAAACGGACCAAGATCCAGACCTGGATCCGGACATGGATCTAGACCTGGATCCAGACATGGATCCGGATATGGATCCAGACCTGGGTCCGTCCGTTTACAGGTCCGGATCCAGGTCCGGATTTAGGTCTGGATCAAGTTCTTAATTAATTTATCTTAATTAACCATGAACTGAATTGAATAATTTTTGGGAAATAATAATATTTTTTATATTATGAAAATAAATTATGTTTTTTTTCAACAATTTATAAGTAAGAGAAAATGATATTAATACATCTTTTTGAAGATAAAAAATTATTTATACAATTTATATATTCAATAGTTATTTTTTGGGGGGGCCCGGTGATTGTCTCCTGCCCCCTAATACANATTTCTTAACTGAATGGATAAAAACATTAAGCTTATAAATGGTTGGAGGTGCAATTATATCCCCCCTGTGACTACAGAACTCATGATATATATATTATGCTAAGTATTTAATTATATAAGGAGTCCCGATAAACGGTTGTTTATGGATTTACGGACCCTGAAACTTCTTTAGTAGTTAATGAATTAAAAGAATAATTGTTTTTTACAGATTTAAAATGCTTCCAAAATTTAAACCTTTGTTTTCTTAATTAATTGTTATAAAATGTTGCTATATATCGTTTCCTGCGCAAATAGATAGATACTGCATATAAAGTAATCATTGTTTTCAAAACACAAATTATTTGGCACAGAGTTCTTAAAAAGCAAGATAATATGACACACTGTTCTCAAAACGTAAGACTTACATTACAATCTTTTCAAAACATAAAATGATATGGCACAGAATACTCAAAACACAAGATTGTATGGCACAGTGTTATCTAAATACGAGATTGTACAGTATCATGTTCCCAAAACACCGTGCACTGTCTTCTAAAAAGCTGTTGAAATGTAAAAGCTGTTGTTTGAAATTTCGAGACTAAATGAGTCTTTGCTTAATATAAATTAAAGGGAGAGTTCCCGAAAAATGAAAGGGGGTATAGACTATAGGCCTTAATGCGTTAAAAAAGCGCTTTAGATCGCTACTAATCTTACTTCTATCTGTTGCGTCTATGAGGAGAAAATTGTTAAAAATGACTAATACCGAAAAACGTAGTGTCCATACAAATGCAGAAAGATGCAATTTTTAACCAGGATCGTAAACAAATCAATTTAATGTCAAGCAAATCATTCAGATATTACAAACAATAATCATCGATTATTTTTCGACGTATTCGTAAATATTTGATAATTCATAATATTTTGTATTTTTCATGATCTGAGAGTTACTTTTGAAAACATTTATTCCTGTTTCAAGGATTTTTGATAATGAAGACGACATTTTCATATTTTCCAGGAATGTTCGAAAATCCAACACCGGCGAAAATTATTTTAAAAAAAACTAAATCAAAAATATTATGAAATATTAGCTATATACGAATGCGTCGAAAATTAATCGATGACTACTGTTTGTAATATCTAAATGATTTGTTTGGAATTAAATTGATTTGTTTACGATCCGAGTTGAATGTTGCATCTTTCAAAATTTGTATGGACGCTGCGTTCTTTGGTGTGAGTCGTTTTTAACAATTTTCTCCTTATAAGACGCAACAGATAGAAGTAATATTAGTAGCGATCAAAAGCGCTTTTTTATCGCATTAAGCCTTTACCCCCCTTTCATTTTGTCGCGAACACTCCCTTTAAAGGAGTAAAGATCGCAAAGTTCAGCCAGTAACTCAGAAGAAATTAAACTCCAGGGCCCACTTTATCTTTGTTTATGGTCCAGGGCCCACTGTATCCTGGTATATGGTTCAGGGCCCACTGTATCCTGGTATATGGTCCAGGGCCCATTGTATCCTTGTTTATGGTTCAAGGCCCACTGTATCCTGGTATATGGTTCAGGGCCCACTGTATCAAGGTATATGGTCCAGGGCCCACTGTATCCTGGTATATGGTCCAGGGCCCACTGTTTCCTGGTATATATGGTCCAGGGCCCACTGTATCCTGGTATTGTATAGTAGAGGCTGAGTAAGGGTGGAGGTAGGGTAAAGAAAAGGCCGCAGTGTAAAGTTTCCAATAGTAGAGTAGGAACTACGGGGAATATAATATACACTGTACAGGGACATTTCAGGGTTTTTTATTATTTAATCGATCAATTCCTAAATATTCAGTTTTTCATTCTTTATTCATTCATTGATCCACAATCTTTCTTGTTACATTTTGTAGACCACTGCACTTACATTCATCAACTGTTTTAATATTAATCAACTAAAGAAATATCGATTTAAACCGTGTTTAAAGTTTGTAATATAACCTTATTTAAAAGTGAAGTATGCATATATATTATATATATATGTATATGTTTATATAGTTCGGCAAACTGATTAAAGGACAAGGAAAATTACATGCATTTAAAATTGTTTCATCGATATTTTCAATTCGTTGTGATCGGGATTGTTTCTTTTTTAAAGAAATCGTTTTTAAAATGCGTTTACATAGAAATATATGAACACAAAAAATATTTATTACAAGTTGTATTTTTACATTAAAAAGTAAGAGTAATTTCAAGTGACCCTCCATGGATAACAATGTTCGATTTACAACGGTACCTTGTAAACCTTTAACATATCATCGATGCAAGCGAACCCTGTGTGTTTATCTCTCTAAAAAGGAGTGTATAATGTAAATTCTGAATTCTTACTCAAATCAGCTGACGTTACATGTTCAATTCTAGGGACACTGCAAATTACTCCCACAGTTTCTTTGATGGCGTGAAACCAAAATGTCATATTATTATCAAATGTAAATAAAAACTAAGTAACCACTGCACAAAACAAATTTTAAACTCTTACTATTTTTGAGAAGATTTTGTCCAGAAAAAGTTTTTACGTACAACCAAGTCAAATTTATTTTCTCTATTTTGTGTGTAAAATGAAAACTGGAGAAATTACGAGCTATTAAAGTCATTCCAATAATTCCATTTAAAATACAACTTTCTCTCACAAAAAGATCAAAGTAAATACAGGGGTTTTCTTTTTTCCTTTTTCAATAGAATTGTTGACTGGTGAAATCCTAGTATTGAGATATATTCCAAGAATTGTTTTAAAACAAATACTTCAGGGCAACTTTCTAATTTTTAAAGTTTTTGCTATTTTCATTTTTAATTTGTTTAACAATATAATTATTTTTTAGTTGGACCAAATTTCTAACAGCGCTTAGGAATTTTGTTGATTTTTTATTAATACTTTTGGGAATCCACCCTCAATAATCATGTTTTTCTTCAGAATCGATAATTGAAATCATAACAGTATTTTAAACTGTCAAACTTCAGATCCTATAATTTTGGACAATTTTGGATTTATTTATTATAACACAAATTGTGGCGTATTATCGAATGTATGCAAGTTGTAGGTGAAGTTTTTTGCTGTCCCAAACCATGGGTTTACTTTTCTTGGTAGTCTCGATGGAACTCAACTTTTCTGGTTATAACCAGTTGGCAAACTAACGTTTCTGGTTATAACAAGTTTGCAAACTAAAATTGCTGGTTATAACCAGTTTGCAAACTAAATTTGCTGGTTCTAACCAGTTTGCAAACTAAAATTGCTGGTTATAACCAGTTTGCAAACTAAAATTGCTGGTTCTAACCAGTTTGCAAACTAAATTAAATTGCTGGTTATAACCAGTTTGCAAACTAAATTTGCTGGTTCTAACCAGTTTGCAAACTAAAATTGCTGGTTATAACCAGTTTGCAAACTAAAATTGCTGGTTCTAACCAGTTTGCAAACTAAATTTTCTGATTATAACCAGTTTGCAAACTAAATTGTATTTGCTACAAACTGGGATATTCTAATTTCTATAGCTTGGCAACCCAATGTCAGACCTTAAATATTTCAAACTATAAAATCTGTTCAATAAAATAATTTGAGTTTGTAATATCTAAGGTTTACACCATCAGGTTGCATAGAAATAGGAATTAGAACATTTAAGTTTGTGGCAAAGACTCAATTCCATTACATTTTTGTAAAAATATGAAAATTATAGCAAACGTACTTATTGCAAAAGTATCATAGAAAATGAAACTGAGCCGTAATTTTAGAGAAAGTTTTGCATTGCATGTCGATCGTTTGTTGTTCTTAAAGTTGAAATAATAAATATATTTCAAATAAATATGTTTCAAATAACTTTTTTATCTACTATCAATTATGAAAGATGAAGAAGATCATATCGTTTTCTGGTATGAAAAGTGTTTAAGTCTGATAATTTCCCAGTGTTTCTGAAGCAAAAAATGATAAAGTTACTTTTGTTGAGAAACCACAAATGAAAATATTCAGTTGTCAAAAAAGAAATAGTCTAAGTCACACCTGAGCAGAGAACTTTTGTATTGGATACCATTAATTCTTATTACTAAATCTTTGTATCCACTGGGAACACTTTTGATTTTCTTCTTAATCCTCTCTTTTGGATTTCCCTGCTGGATTACAACCAATCAGAGTTCTCTCATTGATTTTTAAAAAATTTCATTTCATACACTTTCCAGAAAACAAACAGTGGATTAAATTAAAAAATAAAAAAAATAGGAGATCAAGCATAGATCTCGATATTCTCGATTCAAAAGTTTTCATCTATGATACAACAAAGCTTTTACCGTTGAAAATCGGTCATTCCAGTCTATAAATGGAGAGTCAATACATATTACGTTTAAATTCCTATTTAAAACAACATATACTTATTTGTATTTGATAACTTTATTTTTCAAATTGGTCTTAAAGGGACTGTAAAGAAAAAATGAAAGGCTGAAAGCTAATCACTTTAGCCCTCGATCGCGACCCATGAAAGTTGTATCCGATGCTCCTATCTAGAGAAATTGATATACAACTGTGTCAAATTTATACGAAAATTAA